GGCTTGTTTGCAGCGTCAGGTCTGTGGGTGCCTGGGAGAGCCTTGCCTTAGGTGGTGGCATGTAATATTTGAGTGCCATGTGGTGGGCTGGCCTGCAGAGAGCCCCCAGCAGCCTGCTGTCACTCCATTGTGAGAGCAGGCTCACGATGCTGACCTTGACCTTATAGTGTTGTGAAGAGGATGAGCAGTTGGCCCTAAGATGACTGTCAAAGCGCTTGGCCCTCAGGAGGTGGTCATGGTTATTAGGGAGCTTATTTAGAAGCATTTGGGGCCTTAGGCATCACTTGAGGCCACTGTATCCTTCTGTTTGCAAAAGGGCATCACATTTGAGGGTTTCCCGGGAGAGCCGTAGTTCAGGGTGAGGGGTCATATAATTAAAGGAAGCCTGTGACATGCTAGAGCTTGATGCAGTTTACAAAGAGGATTGTAAATGTTCTTGTGTTGTAGAAGCAGGGCACCCACCCTAGAGGGATCAAAAGGCCTTCAGCCACCTGTCAGGAGTGAGGAGTTTCCTTTTCTTAAATAGGTCACTCTGGGGAAGACAAGTAGTGACTCTGTGGCATCTTACTACACTGATGGACAGTGACTTTAATAGGGTGTGGGGGGCACTTGATAATATGGGTGAATGTAGTAACTACAGTGTTTTTCATGTGAAACCTTCATAAGAGTGTATATCAGTGATACCTTAATTAAAAAAAAAGAAAAAATATTGCACTCCAGGAAGATACGGGTCTTTGTAACCTTACATGTTCAGTGGTACGTCTTATTTCTCAGGCTTTATTGAGCACTTGCTTTTACTAAGTGCATTATGTCAACATTTTTTATATGGGAGCAGCAAATAGAGAACTGTTTGCTTCCACTCGTGTCCAGTATCTTTAAAGGGCTGGGTGGCTTTCACCTGTGAGACAACATTGCAAATATAATAGAATAGGTAGCAGTCACTAGTTTTAGTAAGTATACAAAAGACACGTGCCTCTTTCATTAACTGCTGCCGCAGGCCTCGTGGGCCTTTCCTGTGATCCAGAGTAAGAGCGCACCTGTCCTTGCCCGGGGCTCCTCGCCTTGCCTGCAGGCTCTGTGTGCTGGGCCGAGGGGCCGCCTGAGACTGCTGACCCGGCGTCTCTGTTCTCACAGGCAGTGCTGTCCCCGAGCCTGGTCTTGCTGCCTTTCTCCTTTACTTTTCTCTTTGCTTCTCAAGTGTAGCCAGAATTAACCCAGCACTGTACCCTAGATAGCTTTCCAGCCCCCACTTCCTGACTGATGGGAGTCCCGTGAGATTCCAGGCTGGGTGGGAGGGCTGTGCTGGTGGTTGGTGAGACTCCTTCCCTAAGTAGCTGACACTTGAGTATCTTTCACGACCTGTAAAATCCCTTTTTGTTTAAAAGTAAATACATAATAAGGGATAAACCCACAGATCTGTGCAGCCCCAGGTAGGACGTGGTAGTCAAGATTCATGCCCCGGTCTGCCAGCTCTCCACGCATCATGGCTTGGTCATGTGCATCAGTCTTTTTGAAGCCAGCTTCCTGCCGGGAAGAAAATCACGGGACCCACAGCTTTTGCTGTGGCGATTAGATAGTAAATCTTGAGCATCTGGCAGAAATAAACCCCAGGACCTTGTGAATCACAAAGTTTAGAAATACTGTATTTTCCAAAAGGCACAGTAACATAAAACAAACATTTTACTGGTCCCTCTAAACTGTTTTTCAGAGTTCTGTTACTCTGTGTTAGGAACACGCAGAGATCACCAAACCAAGTTACAGCAGTGGGTGAGGGTGGGGTGGGGGCGGCGCCGGTCCTCTGTGTCCCTGTGGCCTCTGAATTTGTGGAGCCAGCAAGGGAGGAGGAATTGCTTCCCCTGTGCCCTGCCCCTCGCTGCCCTGCCCTTCCTCCCTCCACTCTCCCCAGAGGTAGTTTATTAGCAGTTCAAGTCCTATCTTGTAATTTACTCCTTGAAAATTTAAGTACTGACACAGTTCAACTAGACTGGTTGAAGGGAAACTGCAGGGTCTTTTTCCCTGTGTGCAGGCGGGGGCTGGGGAGACTGGCGAGAGAGGAGTTTTCCCTAGTGTTCTTATGAACTGGGATTGTTTTTGAAATTCAGTTTTCGTTATGATGATCATCTGTTACCTTATATGGATCGAATCATAATTACTTAATATCATCTTTCTCTTGTATGTAAATCAGTTACTTATTTTCAAAGGGCTGTTAATAATATGTAAAACAGGATACCTACCAGAATTGCAGTGGAAGTTGTAACTCATTTGTAAAGTCATTGATACTGAGTGCTCCTTGGTGGTGGTAATAAAGTGAGTTTCTGTGTCTGCAAGGTGATGAAGTCAGCCAGTTGCCTTTGTTCTCTGCCCTAACGGCTGACTGGTCAGGGATTGTCTGTGTGGCTTGCCTGCTGTCCTCCTGTGAGGGCCCATTGTCTGCCTGGACTTGGCCCTCCACGCCTTATGCCTTGGGGAGGGCTGGCGCTGGCAGAGCTCAGGGAAAAGCTGCTCTTCCTGTGGGAACTGCATGCGTCCTGCGTCCTCCGGGCCGGCCTGCGTGCGATGGAGCTGGGGAGCCGTGCGGTGTGGTCTCATGGGGTCCTGCAGCAGCCAGAGCCTGCGGAGGCCACGACGGTGGGGGCAGGTGCGACAGCGGGGCGGGCGCAGCTCAGCGAGCCAGCCTAGGTCCTGCGTCCATGCAGAAGCTGAGTGAACTTGGATTGTTTGTTCTGGAGTCTTTAACTTGTCCTTAGCACTTACTCAAAGGTAATGTTTTCCCTCACTGACTAACTGTCTCAGCTTTTTGGCAGAGGATTCTTTGGCAGTGTTTTCGGTCCAGCCTTATGGGAAGCTTTGCTCTCTGCATGCTGTGCTCAGTGCCACAGCTGCAGAAATGTGCTTTCTCCTGCTCACTCGTGGTGGTGGTGCATTTTCCTCATATGCCACAGAGGAGCTGGTTTCTGTCTGTAGTGGAGGGGTTAGGCTGTCCCGCATGGTCTGAGCGGTGCTGCTGATAGCCCTTCATATTGGTCATTAAAACATGAACTCATGTGATTTAACTTCTGTTTTAACACTGAAAAAGGACTTTTCGTCTTATATATCTGTGACAGATTTTTCATTTTTAAAATATTTTTAATTATAGTTCAAGGGTCCATTACATTTCATGTTATTTTTTGAATGATAAGATCTGGATTAAACTGTAATTCTTTGATGTGGGTAGCTGGCGTCACACTGTGTTCTCTGTCCACTGGTCCTTTGACTTTTGTTTCCAAGGAGTGTTTCTTCGAAGGAAGACATTGTGATCGCAGCATGAGCACCCAGATTCCCCCACAAAGCAGTGAACCCCCAGAGCAGCCCCTCCTCCCCCTGCCCCCCCAGCCTTCCATGAATAGGCCCGTTCAGGGGCGAGACCAGAGCCCAGTGTCCCCGTGAAAGGGCCTCTGATTCTTCCTCTTTGGTCCTGCGCCGTGAGCTACGTCAGCGGGCTTGCACTGCTCGTGAGTGACTGTGCTCTCCCCAGGACACAGAAGACAGTGAGCAGAGTAGTCCGCTCTGCGTTTCTGAATGTTGAAGTCTAAATGTGGCTCAGTTGACTGCTTTTCTCTTAAATGTTTAAGTATAAATTTTGATTATCAAAAATTGGGGAAAGACAGCAAGTTGATGTCTTTATTCTGTACAGTTTCTTTCACATGGTTAATTTAGGATGAGTTGTTTTGGTGGACAAATAACTCATCTTAGTGTAGTATTTGCTCAGGAAGTGCATGTAATGTGGTTTTCTGTTTAAGAAGGTACCAGCTCTCTAGCAAGTGGGGTGGGGAAGCTGAGGGGAGGATTTCACTTTCTTATGTCCCGTCCTCTGGTAGCTGAGAGGGCAGTGCAGTGTTAGGCCTGCTGCTCACTAGCTCTCTGCTTCTGGATAACCCTTAACCTCTCGACACTTGAGTCTTTTCCTCTGTAGACGAACAGGCTTTGGCGGGGACTGGGCACTGCGTGTAGAGCGCCTTGCTCCGTGCAGGGACTCCGTGCTGGCTGTGCTGCCTGCCTGCCCTGCGCCCGGGCTCTAGAGGCCTGCACCCTCCATCCCGTGCCTTCTGCCTGCCCCTGCGAGGAGCCTTTGCTTGGGATTACTCGTGGGAAGAGGCTCCTGTGTTAGTCAGCTGTTTGTCCTCCATCTTTATCTCAGTGTTTAGGACTTGCAAACTGATGGGGGCTAAATTTGCCAATAGAGGTTATCAGGAGACATTTTATGGTTGGTTTATAATTTTTCTGCTGTCTTTAAATAAAGTATGGCTATTTAAAGGTTGTGGTACATGGGTGGACCTCTAATTCTGATTATGTGTAGGATTGTCTGAGACTGTAGTCCATATTCTCAGTGAAGGTCTGTGGTTCCCAGAAATGGATGTAGGTTTGCTAGGTGCGATGAGTAAGCTTCGTGTTTTAGTTGAACTATACTTTACATATGCCAAAATATGTAGATTTTAAGGGTATAGCTCAGTGGGCTTTGACAACGAAGTATGTCTGTAACAGCTACCCACGCCCGGGCAGAACATGTCCACTGCCCAGGTATGCATCTCACGCCGCTTTGCCCACTGTCATCCCCTTGATTTCTGCCGCCAGATTAGCGCCACCTGTTCTTGGATTTACTGTAAGTGGAATGTGCAGGGTGTCCTTTCCATGGTGGCTACTTTTGCACGACAGTGCAGAGAGATTAATCCGTTGTCCATGCTGATGTGGTTATCGGTGGTTCCTTCTTACCTGCATGGACAGGCATGGCCTGCCTGATGGTGGAGCCCTCACCTGGGTGTAGCTGCCGCAGGTGTGCTTGGCTGTGTGGCCTTGATAGTGATTCAGTGCGTGGAGTGAGCTGTTGTCGGGCAGAGGGGAGTGACGATACCGAGCATGCACACACCAGTTACGCAGAAGCAGCGGTGGGAAGAGCACGATGCACTTTCCAAAGCTTATGAACATCTGAACACCAAGTAATACTGACTCGTCACTTATTGTAGGTGCTACAGAATATTTTGGAAACAGAAAATGAATATTCTAAAGAACTTCAGGCTGTGCTTTCAACCTACCTACGGCCATTGCAGACCAGTGAAAAGTAAGTAAGATGAGAAATGGTGCCGACTACAGAGTAGTCACCTCGGGCTCTTCCCACGCCGTTTCAGAGACGCCAAGGTGAGACCCTGGTCCACAGCTCAGGGTCCCAGTCTGCCGTAGACATAAGCAACTGGTCTGTTAGGCGTGGGCTTCAACAGGGCATTGGGGTGCGGGAGGAGAGGAAGCTGCCCCCCTCCTTTCACTGTGATTTTCTTGGCTCTAGGTTAAGTTCGGCGAACACTTCATATTTAATGGGAAATCTAGAAGAAATATGTTCTTTCCAGCAAATGCTTGTACAGTCTTTAGAAGAATGTACCAAGTAAGTAAGATGCTAAAAATTTACGCAATTCAGATGGGTATAACTGGTATTTAAAGTATCAACTTTGATGTAATTTTAGAACTTACATTTCTAAAGATGGAAACTAGGTTATTTCGAAACTTTTGGGTATATCAACTTGTAAAGTGTGTTTTAGACTACCCAGTTTTATAGTAGGGATCTTTGAGGGGGATCTGCTGACTATTCAGAGAAGGAGAATGGCTTCACATGAGTGGTGCTTCATAAGGTGTTGGGGGCAGGGGAGGAAGGGGATGCCACGTGAAAAAGCCTGGAGGTGCCTATGGCTTGGCTCGCTGGGCGCCCTGGCTCACGTTCCCTCGGGGGCCATGGTCCTGGCCAGCAGGAAGCTCAGGAACTGTAAGACATGACATTTATGACGTGATGTGTTACCCATTTGGTTTTGCTTTTCCCAGAATTTGGGGGAGAGGGGTGTATGCTCTGGGTGATAGGCCAGCAGCTTTATTTTTTTCTGTGGGACTAGTTTATGTTCTTAACATCAGACATTAAATAATATTTATTAGGTGCCTGCTCAGTATTGGATGACTTAAAGTCCCAGTGCGTGTAGAGTCTTTAGGTGAGCCCCACAGGTGATAACCTGATGTTTTACTTGTGGACTTGACAAAGGAAAGTCACATATTATTTTTAAATTATCTTCATTTTGATAAAGACATATTTTCTCTTGGAGTCTGGGTGGTCTCTGGTTTCCCTTCCAGCTTTAAACGTGTGTCTTTCTCAGTCTTGGATGTGGTGGGTTGGCCTGTCCTCTGTGCGGCCAGGTAGCAGTTTGCTGTGCAGAAAGTAGGTTTGGCCCGTAATGTTAGCTCCCAGGTTTTAAGGCATTTCACAGTGGGAGGCGGGGCAAAGCTGAAGGCCAGAGTAAATACTGGCTTTTAAACAAATTCACGTTATTTGTCTGTTCACAGCACGTTTGGCTTGCATAAAGCACGTTCCTCACATGACCAGGACGAGAAGAGTACTGTGAGAATGACTGCTTCCCTTCTGGTGAATGAATGACAGTCATTTGCCCACAGTTTGGGGTCTTTGTCCTCTGGGCTGCAGATAACAGTGGGCTCAGTAAATATTTATGTAGTACCTTTTGCAGCCCCTCTGGGCCCCCTGCCAGCCCTGTGAAATGGGGCAGATGCCACCTCACTGCAGGCGCTCAGGCTAGGAGCTGGTGTCCAGAGAGGGAGAGCCACGGCTTACCGTCCCGCGCCTCAGGCACCCACCCTGTGTCACCCCTGCATTTGGTGTGACTTAGATGTGATCTTGGCCAGCTCCCTCAAGGTTCCAGTGTGTGGTGTCAGGTGTTGAATTTCCCAAGGTGGGATGGCATGTTTGAGACTTCAGCTTTCCTTATCAACCATACCTTCACTTTTTTGTCATGAATGTTCTGAAAGGTTTGAGAGATTTGGACAGAAACATTCAGGTTTGACACCCTTTCATTCCTAGGCTCCCCCCGACTTCCCAGCAGCTGGGTTGATCCTATATACCTTGGGGTTTTCTCTTGGGATTTGGCTGTCCAACATAACACAGCCTTGGCCAGTGTGGGCCCCAGAGCGGAGAGAACCGGAGACAGGCCGTGTGTCCTTCCTTCTCCGGATGCCAGTCTTCCTCTAGAACCATCCTGCATTTGATATCTCCTGCTGTCTTCACATAGTTGGTTTCTTATTTTGTCCAAAGTTTTTTTGTTGTCTGTAGGAGAGTCAATTTGATAGGAGTAACTTCGGTATAAGCAGAAACAGGACCTTCTGGATTGTGTAGGCCCCAGCCGGGGGGCTCTCCCTCCGTCTTGGAGTCAGATTTGCCTGCCAAGTCATGACCATTCGTTGTCTGCTTTTGCCGGCTTCCAGAGCGGGTTCCAATAGTCTGTTCTGTGTGTGCTGCGAACTGGTGCCAGGGCAGGTTTGGGAAGGAGCAGGGCCCGTGGGTGTGCTCAGCCTTCCCTGAGGGGAAGGGGTCTCTTGGGCTTCTGCACGTGCCTGTCTTGATGCTGCCTCAGTACAAAACCCTGCCATCCAAGTAACACATGCTCCAAGCCTCCTTGTTTGACGCGGAATTTTAAGCCCTCATGCCGCCTCTTTCCCACTGCCCAGAGCCGGGCCTGTGGGCCTGCAGCTCTGCCCAGGTCCTGGCATCTGGGTGCAGGGAGAGGGTGCGCTGAGTTCACTGCCTCGTGGCTGAGTGGCTCTCAGGGCAGGGGTTCCTCCCTGCCGTTCTCGTGGCAGGGGCACTTAGGTTCTGGGGCTGTCTTGTGTTCATAGACGGGCTGCACGTGGAGGTTTTTCTGACTCAGATTTGTGTTCATTACTTAGCAGTGTTCCTTGCGTCTGTAAAACTTCAGGCTTTCCCTTTGCCGCTTGTCCCCAGGTCGCCTGAGGCTCAGCAGCGGGTTGGAGGCTGCTTCTTGAACCTGATGCCGCAAATGAGAACCTTGTACCTTGCGTATTGTGCCAATCACCCGTCTGCGGTGAACGTTCTCACGGAGCACAGGTACGTGCAGGTAGCCGCTGGGTGACCGAAGGAGGTGGCAACTTGGGGCGCCCTCCAGTCGGAGGTCCCGGTTAGAGGTCCCGGTCAGAGGTCACGTGAGACTCACTGTTCTGTTGGCTTGATTACTCAACAGTGATTTTCTTAGTTACCCTCAGAGTTGGTGCGGGGGAAGTACTGGTAAGGAGCCTTTGAAATGCTGATTCGCACTTTTTTAATGGAAAAGGATGCATTTGAAGTCTCCCTTGAGCCTAGAGCCCCACCTATAGTGGGTGGAAGGAGCTAGTAAGTGTGCTGGAAGGTGGCTGCAGTTAAAGTTGGGCAACTGGAATCCTATTTCTCTCAGTTCGTAAACTGGAAGTACATGAGACTGAATTAGATTTGCTGTAAAAGAAAATGACCCATTTAAAATTAGGAGTGGGTTTTATAGCCAAACATAATATTCAGCTGAAACAAAATGGGAAACAGCACGTACACGTTTCCTGCTGTTCGATGGGACAGGGCCTGAGGCCTGGAGGGCAGCTGAGGAGTGGGTGGGTCGGAACCGGGGGTGGGGGGGTGGGGGGGGTGGCTGGCGCTCTGCTAGGAGCCTCGCACGGGCTCTGTTTCTTCTCTGAGAGGCACGCATTCTTCTTAATAAGCTTTTAAAAAATTGTTCATGGTTTGTTTAGAAAACCGTCCAAAACTTTAAAAACCATAAATGAAAATTTGTTTCAGGAGCATCAAGACAAATTTCACTGTGCTTTTGATTCAAATGTTTCACTTCAACTTTTTGTTTCACTGACTTTTCCCTCCCCTTTACCTGTTTAACCACTAATTCCCCCCCTCCGCAGCCTGCCATGGCAACTTCGACTTACTCTAAACTAAGCATTTCAACCCAAAAGCTAGAAACTCTCGTAAGCTCGGCCGAGCCGTTCAGCAGCCGTGTGAGTGGCTGGGGGTGCGGCAGTGGAGGGAGGGCCTGGCCCAGTCAGCTGCCGGCCTTGGGTTTCACTTCTGGTTTCTGCTCCCTTCTCTGAAAGTGCACGTGTGCAGGGCTGCTGTGAGCGTGTGGTGAGACCCGCCAGTGGGGTGAGGACTGCCCCAGTGCAGGTGCCCGTGGACACCGATTGCTTTGTTGCCCTGTCATCTGTGCCCCCTGCCCTGACCCTGGGAGTTCCCTGGGTTCAGCGTGGTCGCCTACTGCAGGGATGCCGGCTCTGGAACCCTCACGTGGCTTAAAGCATCTCCAGTCCTGAAATAAAGCCACTGTCTGACGCCACGAGGAGAGGAAGGGCAGTTTGGTTGTTCTCCATGGAAACAACAGGCCCCAAGCCCTGCCCTCCCGTGGGGTGCTCTCCTCGGCTCTCTGGGAGGGCGGGCTCCGGGAGCACAGCTCTCCCTAAGACAGGGTGTGTGCTCTGTCACTCACTCCTGGGAGTCACAGACTAAATGCAGTTCCCACAGAAGTGACATGCAGGGATTAAATTTGTGTCTCTGGAAGTTCTTCAGGAGTTACCGGTGCAGCCATGGGGGAGGCTGTCAGCAAATAGGACGGTGGCATGTAAGCCTGTCCTGGTTGCTCTCCCACCCTCTCATGTTTTGAGGGGGGTGTCTGTCCTCTAGGATTGGGTTGGAAGTATGGGAAGAGAGTGGGGTGGACAATTTGAGGGACTGATTTGCTTTCCAGTGGAAGTGTGTATCTGTCCTGACGATGCCATTTAAACGAGTTCAGACTCACCTTATTGTTAAGACTTTGAAGGGAAATGGTGTATGTGCTGTTTATCCTCTCTTCTGTACTGTTAATGACTGTTTGTGTCATAGTTGAACCGTAGTTATAGCATTTCTCCAAAATAACAGGGAGACGATACTGCTGTGTTTCTGAGTGGGACCTTCTGGGCCGCCTCCACGTGGTGTGTCTCCGTGCTGGGAGGTGGGCGTCCTGAGGTCACACTCTGGTTGTGCCAGCTGAGACGAGGCCCTCCAGTTGGCAGGTGCCCATCGGGGCAGGGTGCGCTGCCTTTGTGCCCTCCTGAGGTCCCTGAGCAGCTCGAGTTCCCGCTCTGTCAATTCAGACCCCTCTTCCGAAGCTTCAGTGGAGGGACTGAGGCAGGTCGCAGTCAGCGGATAGCCTTTGCCAGCACGCGCCACTTTGTATTCTGGGATCTTAACTTGTAACTTCTTTCCCACTTCCCTATGTTGAAATTTTAAAGCTGCCATGCTTACAGTAGACTAATCTGTTTTCATACTTGGATTTACTTTGAAAGGATTGATTTGAGTGTAATATTTTGAAGTTTGAAACTCTTATTTGCAATCTTAAAATCCTTTCATTGCTAGTTTAAATTCTGTGTACGAGTCTTTTGAATGCAGCCACGCCCACAGTTCTGTAGGCTCATAACCGAAGCATGCCTTTTGCATTATCTTACAATAACAGACATCATGAGTTCATGGCTGTACCTATTTTGAATGAATTACGGATTTCTTAATTTAGTCTATAAAGTGAGTTTTGTTTTTTCCAGCTAGTTAACTATCCCCTTTTGCTTGGCTACGTGGTAATTCTGTGTTCCTCTTGCAGCCCACAGTGTCATTTTAGTAAATGCAGGGGACATACACTGTACAGAGATGGCTAGCATCATCAGAAATTAAGCTCAAAGAGTCATTGTTTTGTCAAAATAGCTGTAACCAGCTGTTCTGTTTTATTATGGTACTAAATTTTAAAAAGCTGAAAAATGAGACAATGGTCTGTTTCTTTAACTGTGTATAAGAAACTGTTTCTGGCATTACAAGACTGTCATGTGAATGTTAAAAGAAGTTACTTTGCCTGCAAAAATTTCCCATACGCAGACCTGATCATCTACATTTGCCCTCTTACAGCACTAAATTATGTTTTCTACCTTTATCTTGCATCTACCTACCACTTCAGCATTTTATTAAAATAATAATAATAATAATAATAAGGGAGAAATGTGGGATTCACATATAAATCAAGTATAAAAATCAAACGAATAATCATATTTGACCTGATTGTTTATAGTTCATAATGCGTGATCAAAACCGGAAGTTTCTGTGATGACTGCCCTTGTACTGTTCACCATGTAAGAACTTATTCACTATGTAAGAATTCGTTCACCATGTAAGAACTTGTTCGTTATGCTTCAGAAGATTGGAGACTGTTGAGAATTAGGCTTGGGGTGGATTAATGATTGTGCATTGAGTCCCCTATACAGAATTTTATTGTTGTTAACAACCATTTGATCAATAAATATGAGAGATACCCTCTCACAAAAAAAATTTCCCATACGTTTTTAGTCACAGGGCTTTTTTGGTCATTAAGTGAGTTCCTTAGTTTTGTCAATTTTTCTCTGCCATAATGACAATTATAAAATTCCAAATATAATCCTCTAATATCAGAAATAACCTAAATAGACTTTTCCATCATTTTTCTCATGATAGAAAAGGCCCTGTATGAGATTACATTTAAAGGAGTTGAAATATACTTTCAATGCCATAAAGTCTCATTTTTATGGGACCGGGCTTGATCAGTTGTTCAACACTTAGGGAAATGCTGGTAAAAATTGCTCAAGTCCGTCATTTCTTGGATGGTGGCAGGAGCCTTCACTGGGTGTCCTCACCTGTAGGAGTGAATGATGTGTGTCGGAAAGCCCCAGGGGTGGTCATGGGACCAGGAACAGAAGCCTCTGCTGTGCCGGCGAGCAGAGAGCTCTGGGGCAGTGGAGTGACCCCGGCCCTCCCACCTCCTTCCCGACGTGTCTTCCGGTCTGCAGCTCTCGCTGCTGCCTGGGTGGAGTGGCTCTGGTAGTGGGTGGGAGTTGGTTTTGGAGCCACTTCAGTCACTCACCTGTCTCTTAGTAGGAAGAAACTGGTGCCAGGGATGGGAAAAGGCAAAGGATGCTAAAATGTGTAACTGTGCAGGGCACTCTAGGACATGCTCACGGTTTTTGCGTCATAACCACCTCTGGGTAAACAGGAGACTAACCCACAGCGAGGTCCTGAAACATCACATTGCACTCCGGTTCCAGTCACCCCAGCCCTGTGGCCTCCCTGGGAAACCGCGCTTATTTGCACAGACTCACATACGCCGATACTGAGTTGTGTGTGCCCGTGAAACGGTGTGCAGGCTGCTCACACTCACCCCTAGAAGTAGTCTGATGGCTTCTGTGGATAACATGTCTTAAGTTGCAGCACCATGATGGGCTGTCTTACAGGAGTGAATGCATTATGAAGCTTCTTACAGAAATGAGAAAATGTTAGTTTTTATAACTAGCATTATGTGAATGTTTCCTTTTTTTATAATTAGCTTTGATTTTGATGTCTCCTAAATGTATGTATATATATTTTAAAAGGTTGATTAAAAAAATATGTCTATAGGTAGGTACGTAGAGAGCAGGTACTATCAATCACATTATCACTGTGTTTTATGCAGCCTAGGAATGCAGTCTGACTTTAAATGCAGCTAGCCTGACCTCACCGGGTCACCCGAATTTCGATAGAGGGGTGGTTTCCTCTAGGGATCTTCCATGTTTAAGAAATGGAAGGCTAGTTTCCTGATGATTCGTTAGTTTTCAACTTAATATTTGAAACCTTGTATTTCTAAGTTGGTTTAATTAAGGAAACTGCTTTCTCCTTTAGATGCCCTTGCAGAATCTAAGTGAGATCGGCTGGAGGTGGGTTGGAGGTGGGCACTGACACCACCTCTTATAACACCCCTATGTAGCCATTTTAGGTGAAAGTATAGCAAACTGTCACATTCACCACTTTTGAACTGGCCGTTTTAAATGGTTTAGCCCGAATATCGTATAGGTTTTCACCAGGAGCCCTCAGTGTGTCTGGTGTTCCCAAGAGCGTTGGCCAGGGGGGCCGGGTGTAGCTGGGGAGCCGGGAGGAGCGGGGGAGGGGAGCAGTGCCTGGGTCCCTGGGGTCAGGTTCAGGTGGCCTGCACCAGAGGCTGATGTGCTCAGGTGTTCCACAGGCTTTTCATACTTATTTTGACTTCATTTATAGTGTCCTTCCCAGTAGGTGACATGGGGACCTGAGCTGCTGCCGTCTCTCCTCCCAGCCTGCCTGCCCCCAGCTCCCCACGTCTCAAACGGCACATGCAGCCATTGAGGGAAGCACACTCCATGCCTAGGCTGGACCCTAATAAACACTGCCTGCCCTGCAGTGGGGGAGGTGCGAAATTTCACTCCCTGACATGGGTCATAAAGGGTCGGTGATGGCTTGGTGCCCACAGCTGTGCCCCTGGCCTTCCCAGGGTCATTCCAGACCGTTGAATTGGAGCTCTCGGTAAACCCTGGTTCTGCCGCTCGATGGCAGAGAGCTCTGGGGGGTGTCGCTGGCCACAGACGTTAGATGAACAGCAGCAGGGAAGATGGCGAAAGATGAGTAAAATACGCGGAAGTTGTTTTTACGCTTTTTAATTTTCTGAACTACATTCAGTTTCCTCACCTACAAATGTGGGTAGCTTACTTGTGTATCAGGAAGATTAAGTGATGGGATGCTGTGAAATGCCTTGAGGTCTGAAAGCCTAGATGTACATTGATCATGTGCTGCACGGGGCGCTCAGAAGACCAGGAAGCCTTGCCGGTTGCTCTCCCAGCCTGTGTTCAGGGGTGCATGGGGGTCCCCGTGAGCCTCTAGAGGGTCGGTGCCCTGACTCAGTTCGCCATAGTTTCAAAGCGTCTTACTCCTTAATTTCTTGCCACCATGAGGTTCCCAGATAATTGAAATCTGTTCAGGCTCTCGGAGTGTACGCTCGCGTTTGGACACTTCTGTAGGGAGGGGCTTGCTGAAATGGCTGTTCACAAGTGCGATGGCAGGGGAGACCGTGTGTATTCTCTCTTAGCGCGATTGTTTTTGTTCATTGTGAGAGCAAAACATGAACCTGCTGGGGGTTCTCCCTTTGGTGTTTTGAAATAACCAGCACATGTTCAGCTATGGGAGCAGTAGCCTTCGAAATATTTAAGACACCCTGCTGTGTTTCATAGTCCCCGTGATGGCTGCTGGGGGTGAGAGCATGTCCTCCTCCCTGAACTCTAACAGTGGCATCTTCTTCTTTTACTGTGCCGCTGCTTGATCAGTGAGGAGTTGGGAGAGTTCATGGAGACGAAAGGGGCCCACAGCCCTGGGATTCTCGTGCTGACCACCGGCCTCAGCAGACCGTTCATGCGCCTGGATAGATACCCGACGCTTCTCAAGGAGCTCGAGAGGCACATGGAGGTACTGCTTTTCTGTGGCGTCACTTGGAATCCGTCAGCCACTGTCACAGAGGTTATCATTAAGGACTTAACTTAGAAACCAGAACCAATAAAAAGTGTTCACCAAGGGTTTTTAAATCAGTGGATTTTCAGAATGATTTTAAGTGTTTTCTCCTAACCCAGCTCTAGAAAAAGCATCTGCCCCTTCATCTCCTCTCTCACCCACTGCTGCTGATAGAAAATTCCCAGAAACTAGAACATGTTAACCTGATTTTTAAATAGCATTCAGGTGTCATATCAGAAACATTTAGCTACAGATGTTAAACACATCAGCTTGTAGAGTAATAATGGCATAACAATCACTAAATTAATGTATGTTTATCTCATTTTGAATGACAGGCTGCAGGCCTGCAGAAATTTGGGTTCAAAGTTATTGTCTTGGCTGTTGTCTTCTTTGAAGGGCAGCCGTCCGGGCTCCCTTGTGGAGGCTCATGCCTGCTGCTCTGGGGCCAGAGCTGCAGAGGCTGTGCGGGCAAGCAGGGCAGCAGGTGTTAGCAGGCTGACTCTTGCTGTTGGCTTTTGCTGTCCCGCATTATTGTTTCTCTGACGTCCACTGCTTCCATGGTTCCCTTAAAAAATAAGAAATGGCACTTTTATGCTGAGAAAAGTAGGACATATTATGGGTTGCATTGGAAAACTTTCAACTAGCCTACAGATTGTGGCTAAGAAAAAACTCATGATCATGTTTCTTTCATCCCAAGGATTATCATCCAGATAGACAAGACATTCAGAAATCCATGGCCGCCTTCAAAACCCTCTCTGTAAGTGATTAAGCATCATAATTGTGTGTGTTCTTCTCAGACATTATTATGGCAAATGGATGTAGAAAAGTTGTTTATCACCTAAAAATGTTAAGATGATTAAAAAAATTGTGAAGTATAATTTGGGTTTATGCTAAAATAAAAATATATAGTAGCTATCCATAGCTGGTAAATTCTCATGTTTTATTGAACTGTGGATATCAGAAAAGCGAACCAGTTTAAGTTTTCAAAAGGCACCATATAATTGATGTTGCAGATACTTAAATGTGGTGTAGGACATGTTTGTAAGCCCCACACACAGTGTCTTTAGTGGCAGTGTGAATCGAACACTGGTGGTTCGATTTTATCTGCTTTCTGTCTTGCTGTGTTTCTGAAATCTGTGCCCCTACTTAGAGCACAAGTATACAGTCAGAAAATACTTTCCTTTTCCAGTCTCCATGTCTTCTTCTGAAAGTGGCAAGATCTGTTATATTTTTTCTAGAATAGTGTTTCTTACACTGTTGTGAGTTTTGTCTTTGTTGACTTGATTCCATATTTGTGCATTAAGCAAATTGTTCAGTAGATTATCTGTTTTAAGAAGTGAAATGCAAAGCAGTATGGTCCAGACTTGGAGATTCTGGGTGTGTCTGTGTCTCTGAACAGCGCTTCTCTGTCTCAGGCCCAGTGTCAGGAAGTACGGAAGAGGAAAGAGCTGGAACTGCAGATTCTGACGGAAGCCATCCGCAGCTGGGAGGGAGATGACATCAAGACCTTGGGCAGCGTCGTTTACATGTCCCAGGTCATGATCCAGTGTGCAGGAAGTGAGGTACTGCAGTGCGAGCGTGCGCCACCTGCAGGGTGTGTGGGGATGGTTGGGAGAGATATACGGGGAGCCCCCCGCCACAGGCCGCTGGACTGATTGTGTTCTTACTCCAGTGTCAGACTATTTCCCTGAAACCATTAAACTGCTTTGGATAAAAATTAAGAGCTGCGCATAATGTGTATTAAATATAATTCACTTCTAATATGCTTTTTTAAATTCTTTAGTGACAGTCAAGATTGTGAATACGTTAGAGTGTTATGTCTTTATGATCGTGTAATACAAGATTTTAAAGGAATGTCAAATGATGACAACATTGACTGGGGCTTCTATCTTATATCATGATTTGTCATCTACCTCTCGTCATTGCCGATGTAAAGGTGGCTTCTGGAATGTGAGTGAGGCTTAGCTGAGTGGTGCCCACCTGACCAGGTTCGATCCAGCCAGGATCAGTTATTGATCAGTTTGTATCAGCAGAAAGATGGTGTCCAGACAGGACTTCACAGCAGAACTTTTCCTAGTTAGGAGCCCAGTGTGGAAATGCCGGCCCCAGGGTATTTGTTCCTGCCCGGCCAGAACGTCGTGCTCATGCTGTCATTTGAGGAGGAACTCTGTTTTCCAGGGTTTAGGTGGTGACACTTTTCTGTTGTGTATGCTAACTAACATTTGCTTATGGGGTTCACAGTTTTCTTAGGGCTTGGTCTCTGTGAGAGACGAAAGCAGATCCTTGTGACACCCTGCTCAGTGTGTGTTCCACTATTCACATGAGTCATCTGGCCACCGGGTCACTAAGCAAGTACCTCCTTATGGTTTTTATTCTATCTTTGCAAAACATTAACATGATGAAAATATGCCAGTGACTCATTTTCAAACATGAAACTCTTAGGATGGTAGGAAAACTGAAACTTACAGTCACGTTGTGTGTTCCTTCCTGACTGTGACATGTTTAAATGAAACCCCCCTTTGGGGTACCATATCAAACCATGATCAAAAAGCCTCACAACTTCTGAGAAAGGGTTTTTAATCATGTACTCTTCAACTATTTAAAAATCTGTGGGGAAAAAAAAAAATCTGTGGAAACATTTCCCAGAGCGCCTTCTTTGTGATAATAGGTCTACAGGATTTTAGTAGGTGTGCCTCACAATGTGGCTCAGCGTTGTGATCGTGACTGAGCTGATGGTAATCAGCTGTAAAAGTTTATGCATGGCGGGGCCTCTCAGAGCCCATACTCGGACCGTCCACACATATGATGGGCATCTTTAAGAGGGGAGTACAATAAGCAGTTCTCACGACTTCTTTAAAATCCAGAACCTCTCAAGTCACTCTGCGTGCGCTGGTCCAGGAGCCTGCCGGGGACACGGCGCCCTTGCGTCTCGTCACCCTGGGTGGTGGCAGCCGAGCAGGGGCTGGCCGCGCTTCTCTCTCTCTGTTTCCTTTGAGGTTCCTGGGGGATTTTTGTCCTTTAGTTGTGGTCTCTCTAGGTGGTCACTTCACCTTATTGAAGTAAATGATTTCTTAATACATAAATAATGCATTTAAATCTTTAGTCAAACTGGACAAAGTATGGGGTATCGGATGGCAACAGCACTGACTTGACCAGTCAGGGTTTGGGGGCGGCCAGGGCTGAATCATAGACCAAAACTGATTTTAGCATTTCATCCTCCCCCCCTTCAGCTTGAAGGGTCTACCTCTGCCCCCTCCCCACCTCACCCACCAAACTTGTAAGTTCTTTTTCTCCATTTACTTTCAACTGCAAAAATAAATTTTAGGCTAATTACAAAGAGTTAATGGCATAGGTGAACTCCTTAACCAAATCTTTTAAAAATATGTTACATGGTCATCTTGTGAATCTTAAGAATTTATCATATTTTTGTTTCCATTTAATTTAGCTAATAAAATTGGGTAGAAATACTGAAATAAGCATAGCATAATTTTTGATAAGGACTAATGTAAATATTCTTACGTCTATAGGTATGTTGTTTTATTAAAATTTGGATTTGTTTGTTGTTTTACATTAGGAAAAGAATGAAAGATACCTTCTACTCTTCCCAAATATTTTGCTAATGTTGTCTGCCAGTCCAAGGATGAGTGGTTTTATCTATCAGGTAAAACATCTTGAATTTACATTTTATTGTTCATTGTGGATCTGAGAATGATTTCCAATCTTGAAGTTGTATGTTAAATAGTACATTGTATTTATGTATACGTTGTGTGCAGTGTTGCATGCTGGAAGGTGCACACACAGCTCCCGGCTGTTTCCGTCCTCGCATTACTGCTAAGCAGAACGGGGAGGAAGCAGGTGAACTGCAGAACAGCCGTGGAAGGGCACGGGCTGGTGGCCGCTGCCCCACCGCCGCCCTGCCACGGCCTCAAGTCCTGCCTTGCTGCTGCCGCTCCTCATGCACCGCATGGCCGTGATGGGCACTGGCTTGGTGGGGAGGGCAGGTGGCGCTCCAAGGGACGGTTGAGTAGTGGCGAATGCCATGTCTCCTTTTCAGGTTTAACCATTGCACTGATTTGGAGAAGATAGGAGCTGATTTAAGAAGAAAATGCAAGGGAGGTCTTTCTGCTTCTCTTCACTAAGTTAAATGTGCCACAAAGTAGCTTACATGTCTTCCTGTGTCCAAAGGTGCATCTGGCAAGGTTTCACTGCTTTTTCTCTGAAGTTGTGGAGTGAATGTGTTTTGCACCAATTTTCTTAAGCCCTTGCCTATCACCAGGTACTGCTTCAGCAGAGGCACCACTTCTCTCAGTTAGCACTGCCCCAGACATGAGCGTTGTGACCAATGCGAACACCATTGAGTCCCGGGTCAGGCTTCTGCTGCTCGTGTGCCTGCGACCCAGTGAGTCGTGATCAGTTAATGCAGAAGGAGCGCTTTAGATCCGATACAGCAAATATGTATGAACAGACCCAGGAAAATGCTCTTAGTTTGTAAGCCTGCTTCTGAGCATCTGTGGCTGAGGTAGCACCTGCTTGGGTTCCCCTGGGTGGCAGCTTCCACTTCGAGTGACCCTGATATGCATGAAGCCGGGCCCTTCCTGTCTTCACTGTGGGGCAGGTGCAGGCCCTGGGTCAAGGCTGGGGCACATGCCGCGGTTGCCTGGATGTTGGCATTGATGTGCCACGGGGACCCTGCGCCCTCAGTAGGGCCCTGTCTTCCTGCTCTGTGCAGATGCTTGGGAGGTGGCTCTGAGTGCTGTGGCCCATGGCACATAGAGCATCAGTACCCATTTCTGGCTTTGGAGGATGTTAAGCATTAAATCCCATGCCATCCATGCTGGTGCCAGGTTAGATGCAGTCATGTGTTTGCTGTCGGTGCACTTCTGTGCATTACGGAGCCGGGCAGGGAGTGTGTCTTATGCAGTGATTTTCCAGTCACCTGACCACAACAGTGCCAAGCGCTGTCACTCCCCACCCTTCTGACCATAGGGAAAGGCTTTCTCAGCCTGAGCACTGTTGGCCTCATGCCCTGGACCATGCCTTGTCTGGGAGGGGGCAGGAGATGGTCCCGTGAGCTGTGGAGGGTTCGCCAGCACCTTTGGTCTCTGCCTGCTAGGTGCCAGGAGCGCCCAGCGTCCCTGGGGGAGAGCGCCCCTTCCCTTGCTGGGAACTGTGTGTGGCGGCGCTGAGTCCTCCACCGGCCGCGTGGCCCCAGATGTCGGTGGGCGTCTTCCTAGAGCTGCTGCCGTGTGCGTTGTGGGTGCCGCCTTGCTCTCAGCTCTGTGCTGATGGCGAGGCCCATTCTCAGCCTGTTTCTGCCTACTGCCTCTCCGTGGCTCTTCCTGTGCCAGTTGTGCCTGTCCTCCGCTTGCAGAGCGGACGGACTGGGGTCTGCGGCGCTTGGCCCGGCTGGTGGCTCGTTGGCTGGTGGGTGGCTGAGTTGGCCTGCTGATCACTTCCCGTTGCTCCCGTTTCCCCCTGGCTTCGCCTTCATGTGCGGACCTTCCTCTGCATCTCTTTGAAGCAAATCAGTGCTTCCTTTTCGTAAATTCATCTAAAATAGCTACTGGCTGGGGTTTTTTCTGTTTTTTCTAATAATGTGTAATGCTTTTGTGTCCTGGTGTGTACATTGAGAGGAACTCATTAGGTGAAATCTATTCTTGTTCTGGTTTGCTGCTCTCTGTTCTGGCTGCATTTATTATAATAATGTGATTTCTTATTTGAGATAGAAGTTTTGTATTACACGTACATCTGGTACAAAGAGCTTTTTTGGCTTACAAATACAGTTCCTCTGCCATTTCTAAAGTAATTTAGTATTTGTAACAGTACTCTCTTTAGTAGAAAAGTACTAATTCTTTTTTTTGTGTGTGGGGTGGTCTTTTTTAGGGAAAGCTACCGACAACAGGAATGACAATTACAAAGCTTGATGACAGTGAAAATCATAGAAATGCGTTTGAAATATCAGGTGATAGGCGTTAACTTTGTGGCTGCTGTCATGTGAGGAGAGGCAGCTCACTGTTTGTGTGCGGGCTGTTCGGGGGCGGCTGCAGTGTGACTGTCCCAGAGGGCTGCTGCAGTGTGACTGTCCAGAGGGCGGCTGTGGTGTGACTGTCCCAGAGGGCTGCTGCGGTGTGACTGTCTGGAGGGCAGCTGCGGTGTGACTGTCCCAGAGGGCAGCTGCGGTGTGACTGTCCGGAGGGCGGCTGCAGTGTGACTGTTTCAGAGGGTGGCTGCGGTGTGACCGTCCAGAGGGTGGCTGCGGTGTGACTGTCTATAGAGGGTGGCTGCGGTGTGACTGTCCTAGAGGGTGGTTGCAATGTGACTGTCCTAGAGGGCGGCTGCGGTGTGACCATCCAGAGGGTGGCTGCGGTGTGACTGTCCTAGAGGGTGGCTGCGGTGTGACTGTCCGGAGGGTGGCTACAGTGTGACCATCTAGAGGGTGGCTGCAGTATGACCGTCCTAGAGGGCGGCTGCGATGTGGCTGCGGTGTGACTGTCCTAGAGGGTGGCTGCGGTGTGACTGTCCGGAGGGTGGCTGCAGTGTGACTGTCCTAGAGGGCGACTGCGGTGTGACTGTCCTAGAGGGCGGCTGCGGTCTGACTGTCCTAGAGGGCGGCTGCAGTCTGACTGTCGTAGAGGGCGGCTGCAGTGTGAGTGTCCTAGAGGGCGGCTGCAGTGTGACTGTCCTAGAGGGCGGCTGCGGTATGACGTCCTAGAGGGCGGCTGCGGTGTGACCATCTAGAGGGTGGCTGCAGTGTGACTGTCCTAGAGGGCCGCTGCGATGTGACTGTTTCAGAGGGCGGCTGCGGTGTGACCGTCCTAGAGGGTGGCTGCGGTGTGACTGTCCGGAGGGTGGCTGCGGTGTGACCATCTAGAGGGTGGCTGCAGTGTGACTGTCCTAGAGGGCAGCTGCAGTGTGACTGTCCTAGAGGGCGGCTGGGGTGTGACTGTCGTAGAGGGTGGCTGTAGTGTGAGTGTCCTAGAGGGCGGCTGCAGTGTGACTGTCCTAGAGGGCGGCTGCGGTGTGACCATCTAGAGGGTGGCTGTGGTGTGACTGTCCTAGAGGGNGGTGTGGCTGTGGTGTGACCATCCGGAGGGTGGCTGTGGTGTGACTGTCCAGAGGGTGTGGCTGTGGTGTGACCATCCGGAGGGTGGCTGTGGTGTGACTGTCCAGAGGGTGTGGCTGTGGTGTGACCATCCGGAGGGCGGCTGCGGTGTGATTGTCCAGAGGGTGGCTGGTGAAGTGCTGCGTTGTGCTCTTGGTGTTTGTGTGTGTTTGTGTTTTCTGCCTGTTTTCCCATTTCTGCCTGTTTCTCTTCTAGGGAGCATGATTGAGCGCATATTAGTGTCGTGCAGCAACCAGCAGGACCTCCATGAATGGGTGGACCATCTGCAGAAGCAAACAAAGGTCACGTCTGTGGGCAACCCCACTGTGAAGCCCCACTCAGTGCCATCTCACACGGTAAGGGCCTTGCACTTCTGCCCGCGCTGCAGGCTCAGCCTTTGGGTGAATCGCCAGCAGGTCATCTGGCGCTCTGAGGCGTGATCGATATCTGGGCCGAGAGTGCAGCTACCTGCCTGTGCCCCTGTGCGACCGCCTCACGGGACGCACTGCTGAGAGGCCCCAAGCTGCACCTGCTCGCGTGGTTCGGCGGCTTTCAGCAAGGAGTCTGCCTGCTGAGAGTGGGTCCCCGAGAGCTGCTGTGGTGTCCCAGAGGGTTTTTATGGGAGTTTTAACTATGCTTGTATGTTTCATCAGAAAACAAAACGAAAATACTGTGATGAAATGGACCAGATTCATATTGAAGGCTTTAAAATGCAATTTTTACTCACTGTTTTGATTTTAAGAGACCCATTTACCTTCTACTTAGAAAAACTCACCAGCTCTTTGACTTTTTAGATACTTAAACATTTCCAAGTAGATCATCAAAATGTCAGTGTTTAAAACTTCTCTTTACTGGTGTTTTGTGCTGAAGGTGTAGCTGTTGATGTATTTTAACATTTGTCATCTTTATCAAACCCAGTTGGTAGGTTTTTCTCTTGTCCTAATTATGGTCTCTATTAGCATGTTTTCTACTTCGTAGTTTCTATCTGTGTATAAAGAAAACGGGAAATGCTGTTTCAGTCAGACTGATACTCTGATAGAAAACTTTATAAAATTTCATATCAAGTAAACCTTTGCTCTGTATCTGGACCCTGGTCTCTCGGGCTCCTTTTCCTGTCACCCAGAGGCAAGGGGGGCCTCCCTGTGTGGGGAGTTAAGTCCCCACTGTGTGGAGAGGCACTGCTCCTCCCGTACAGCTTTTGAAATGAGCGTCCTCAGGGGGTTTTCCTTGGGGTATGTCCTGTCTCTGGGATCTGGCATTTCGAGCCTGAAGAATATTCTGAGCCAGCACAGAGTATACCTCTTTTCAAGTAAGGAGAAAAACAATTACTGCTACTATGACATCCTGCTAAAAGGGATGTTTTACATAGTTTTCTCCTTTTGTGAATTTAGTTTGAGAAAATTATTGTAGTGGTTGTGTAGCAGGTTGTAAGACCCATGTGCACACGGGACAGGCACGTGGGTGCAGCAGAAAGTACATTACTTCCGCCCTGGAGCCTTGTGGCCTCAGCCAGCGCCAGGCCTTCCCGTTCAGCACGCATCCAGCCCTGAGCAGCGTTTCCCCGGTGGGCTGCCGCTGTGTTTTGGCTACTAGGCGGTCGTTCACTAATTTTGAATATTACTTACTTTATTTAACGTTCTCTTTTGTCAGTGGGAGGGAATATTCTTGGGTTTTCCTGGATTATACAACCCATGAATACTGTCCTCCTGACATACTAGATTTCTATAACTTTTGTTTTGATTAAAGCTGACTTTTTCTGAAGATAATTTGTTTGGTCCTAGGGTTAGGCAAAATTTTTCTGTAAAGCAAATATTTTGGCTTTACAGGCAATGTATGGTCTCTGTTGCAGCTGTACTTTGTACCGTGAAAGCAGCCATCAACAGGAATGGGCCTTGTGTCCTGGGAAAACTGTTATTTCAAACAGAAACAGGAATCAGGCCCTTGCTTTGCCCACCCCTCAATTACCAGGCAGTGAATAATTATGTGTAACTAGGGAGAATTGCCCTCTCCTAATCAGGGGGTGCCTGTTCTTTTATAAAATTCTGACATCTACTCCAAATGTAATGCCCTTCTGCATATGTTACTCTATGGCAAATAAAGGCGGTGGTAGATGTCAGGTCTCCGAGCTGGGCTGTGGCCAGAGCAGCCAGAGGGGGTGCTTGTGTTCAGCCCAGAGCTGGGGCCTGGGAGTCGGGGATTGAAGAGAGGTGGTAACACCCTGCTGGGTATCTCACGGGGTGCGTTTACCAGTTGGCGGGATTGGTGGCCTTGGACCAGGTGCCTCAGACACTGACTGTTCCATCTTGCTCTGTCCTGGGCAGCTGCCCTCCCACCCGATGATGCCAAGCAGCAAGCACGCGGACAGCAAGCCCGTGCCGCTGGCGCCCGCCTACCATACGCTGCCACACCCCTCCCATCACGGCGCCCTGCACACCACCATCAGCTGGGGGCCCCTGGAGCCTCCGAAGACACCCAAGCCGTGGAGCCTGAGCTGCCTGCGGCCCGCCCCACCCCTGCGGCCCTCAGCGGCTCTCTGCTACAAGGAGGTAAGGTCCGGCGTGCTGGGTTCTGGCTGTGTGCCAGTGAGTCCAGAGACAGGGAGAAGCCCTCATTTCTAGCCCTGACAGAAAGTACACATTAGTTCTTCAGGGCTGGGAAGGGTCTGCATTCGTTCTCTTCTTCCCTTCTGCTGCTGTGGGGCCGGGGAGGCCCGCAAAGACCCCCGTGGGGCGCTCATGCAGCCTCAGACCCTCTGCCCCTTACAGAGGGGCTTCAGCTCACCATGACCCTCCCTCGCTCCTGCCACTTGGGGGCCAAGGAGAGAGAAGGTTTCCTGTAGGCGCCCCCGAGCTGCTCGCTTAGCCTATGTGGCCGAGGGTCTCGTGAGCCTGGGGTAGTGCCCTTGGCTGGGGCCGTTCCCTTGCAGCCTTGCTAGCAGCCCTAAATATTTTAACACATAGAAGAGTACTACATGTGTCATAATTAGTCCTTTACGTTTTTTGTTCTTACCGAATTTTGTTTTTTTATGACATACCTTGCTGGTAGTTACATGCCGAAGCTAGAAATGTCTTTACCATGGGCAGTCACTGGAAGAATGTGCGTGTCTTTGCCCCTGTTTTGCACAGGCGTGCACTGGTGGATTTGATTCCTGGGCAGGAAAGCTGGGCTCAGAGTGCTCTGTGTTCGAGCAGAGCAAGGGGAGGGGGCAGTGAGCATGGGCTTTCAGTTCGGGAGGTCTGCCTGCAGGTTCTTGGCTGGACCCCGTGTTGGAGAACAGGTCTCACACTCTGTAACTACCGTCCAGTATTACGTGGAGTGCCTGAAGCATGTAGTGAAAGGTGGTCTTCCCTAGCATGGCGCAGGTGCGTGCTGCCAAGAGTCAGGACGGGGTGTGGGTGTGGGCCGTCACCCTTGCACTGCTGCATCTGTGCTGTTGGGGCCTGGGGTGCCCGCTGTGAATCTGGGAAGCTGTAGAACATGAGCTGGATGTCCTTGGGAATGGATTGCAACTGAATTTCTGAGAGCTATTTAAATTTTGATTTTTGTCAAAAAGATCCTGGAGACATACCTTTAAAAACCAAGTGATGCTCCTTCTGTGCTTTCCGTCTCATCATCCCATAGCACGTCACCTTCTGAACACTTGTTTCTCATTGTCAGATTCACGAATGGCTTCTGGGATTGAAATGATGCAGAAATTAGCCCTTTTTTATTTCAATTTTTAATATATGCATGATAATTGAAACCTCACTTCCCCCACTGGACTTTGTCCTGTCGTTTTCCACCTTCATCTCTGCACAGGGTTTAGAAGCTCTGTTCGAGAAGTGATAGGTGTCACATCGTGGACGTGGCCCTGGATCAGCGTGAACATGCCAGAGAGAGCGCTGTGTCTTCTCTGTGCATCTGTGCTGAAGGCCAGTAGGCTGATTTTATTTCCATTTTTTCTCCCTAATGCTTTAAATATTTATCTCAGGGAATTGTTCTTTACTTGCCTTTCCTTTAAAAATACCCTTAGCTTCCTCATCTCTGGCTGCCTACAGCCGATGGGTCTGCTGCAGAATCAGCATGTGGGTCAGTGCACGTGTCGGCCAGCGGTCTGTCCTCCCGCCCCAGACCCTGCCTGCCGCTGGCGCATGTTGTCACAGATCAACGTAACAGGAGGGCTTTTGTCAGAGCCAGTGCTGTTGATATTACAGGAAAGTGAGAGAAGCCAGGAGCTGCCGCCCCGCATGGCTGTGTGACTTGGAGTTTCACCCTGTCATCGCTGCCACACTGGTTCTCCAGGGAATCACTGCCTTTGGGTGTGTCAGCATGTCCCCCTGTTTCTTTCCCTAGGATCTTAGTAAGAGTCCCAAGACAATGAAAAAGTTGCTACCTAAGCGCAAACCTGAGCGGAAGCCTTCAGAGGAGGAGTTTGCACTGAGGAAAAGTGAGTGTGCATTGGGGTACGGTCGGTCAGTCTCGCAGTTTCGTGGGGCGAGGAGGCGGCGGGCAGCTCTCAGAAGCTGAGCCAGGGTCTGAGCCTGGTGTCACTTGTAAAGGGGATAGTTTGAGCAGCAGTGACCCACTCTTTGCTGGTGGCACAAGCTGGAGAAGCGCCCAGTGCCAGCAGTGACGCTCACGGCAGCCTCCCCGAACAGAACCGATTGCCATCTCGGGGCCTCTGTCAGCCCCTCTGAGAATCTGGGCAGGGGTGCAGGTTTGCCTTGGGACCACCTGTCCCCGCCGTGCCTGTGGTTCCCCCGTGTCAGGATGGCACCCCTGTGCAGGCACATTGCTGTGGACCCCATCTCCCAGGTGGCCTGTGCACTTGTAGGGTCTCCACTGCTCGAGTCTAAACCCCAGAGGCAGTACTGAACTGAGTGCTGGGTTTCCCAGCTTCACACAGTGCCTGTCGTAGGAGGCACTCAGGTAAAAGCGTGCAGATAAGCAGAGCAATTTCCAGAAGGAAGGGATTGGAGAGGTTTGGTGCGCACGTGCCACCTGCCTCCTTGGTGACCAGCCGTCTACTGGTGTGACAGGCAGGAGGGGCTTCATGCACACAGACAGCTATGGGGCTCTCAGGGTTGTGGGAGAGCCTCTTGGGGGTTGTGGGGCAGTGCAGCCTGTAGGAGCCTCCGAGGAGTTATAGGATGTCTTAGTGGGCTCTGCCTCCCTGCCCCTCCGTCCCTGCTCAGCCTGCCCGCCTCTGTGCCCGCCTCTGTGCCTCCTCATCCTCAAGCTTCCTGAGACCTGCCACACGTTCACAGCTCTCCCTCATCTTTGAGAGCTTTGGTCCTCTTTTCTGCTGTAGCCACTTGGGACCCTTCAGAAATTCATTTCCAAAAGAAGGCTCACAGGAGAGACGTTTTTAGTCAGGGTGTGAGTTAGGCCGACCTCCCCACAGGGAAGGAAGGGGGCAGCTTGGAGCTGCGGCCCACCTGTCCCCGGAGCCTGGCCAGCCTGCACGTGGGCCTGCCGGCCACTCGGCACCATGGGGCCTCCTTGTCCTTGGCAGGGGGTGGAGACAATCTGGGAGGAGTCGGTGCAGCAGTGAGCTTAGAGCTGCTCCCTGAACACGGACTCTGACCACTGTGTCCCCTGGCATGTGCTGTAGTGGGCACTGCATGGTTTGCTATGCAGATGGTCATTTCCTCAGACCATGAGCACGTGGGGCCATGTGGCGTTCCCAGGACACCTTGTGAAATGGAATGAGCAGGGTCAGACCTGGGATGGGTACCTGCTCTGTACTGACCAGCTGTGAGTGGGGTGTCGTGTGGTCCCTACATCTGACAAGCATTTGCGCCCCTCCTGTCTGAAGGCTGAGCACAGGGCAACAGCTCAGGTTCTGTTCCCTTGTCAGGTAGCCATCGTGTTGTGCCAGGGACACGGCAGGGAGCAGACGCGGACCCTGTCCTGGTGGAGCCATGCTCTACTGGATGCAGGCGAGAGATCAGGCAGCGCGGCCGGGTGCCTGGGGAGAGCACTGTTTGGATCAGCAGCTTGATGGGATGGGGGAGCCAGTGGAGCGGATGTTTGAGGCAGGCTCCCCAGGCACTGGCCTCAGGGCCCCCAAGGCCGGAGCCCCAGAGCTCCCAGGGAGGGGGTGAGGGGAGGTAATGGGAGATGGTTCCCACAGGTGCCTGAGTGACATTCACAGTCCAGATGGGAACTGAGGACTGGGTGGGACTTGGAGTTTAATAGGACTGCTTGTTGCTGTGTTCCAGATATGTAAGGACAGAGGTCAGATGGGCAGAGGTGGGGACAGGGAGGCCTGGTGGGAGGCTGTGCAGTGCTCCAGGTAAGGGTGATGTGATGGTGGCCTGGGCTAGGCGATTACAGCAGAGGGTAAACGTGAACAGGTCTCACATTTCTTTGAAGATGGAGTCTACAGCAGTAGTTCTCAACTGGGGTGACTTTGCCCCCCCACTGGGGACACTTAGTAATGTCCGGAGACATTTTTGGTTGTAACGACTGGCTTCTAGTGGGTAAAGGCCAGCAGAGAATGGTGTGACCCCAGGTGTCAGTGGGGCCGAGGCTGAGACACACGGGCCTACGAGGCCGTTGGCCTGGGCACCTGCAGGATGCACCGGAGGGGCCGCAGTGAGGCAGAGGCTAGGACTCTGCAGCCCTGCGCTGTGTCTGGGTGGGAGTGACAGTTCCGGAACCATTCTCCATGCTTACATGGTTTCTCAAGTCTGAATGGACAAGTCTGAGTCTGTCTGTTCCCCGGGTGAGTTGCTGGCAGAGGAAGCTTTGAGGGAGGGGCCAGGAGATAAACCAGAAGCCAAGGGTTTCCCAGTGGGTTGGAGGGGAAACCATCACAGGCTTCTGGGTAACTAATCGCTGTGCAGAGCCAGCACTTAGGAAACTTGATTAATTTTCTAAGTTATTTTAACCTTTCTTATGTTCAGAATAGTAGACATTTTTCTGGTTCCTGGCACATTGTGTAGAAGATGTATGCTGTTCTTTTGTTAATTTACCTTTCTAACCTTTGATGAAAGGTTGCTCGTCAGTGGCAGTGTGACAGTACATGCTGGGGAAGCCAGCGCCCTTTCTGGTGTCACAATGCTCTCCTACACTGTGGGGGATGCGAGTGTATTTCCCATGTCTGAAAATGGCAGTTGACCAGTCAGCGGGCAGGGCGCTCACAGAGAGAGAACAGCCTGCCTGTGGAGGCTCCTGTGCAAAAGGTCCCAAATTAAACTAGTTCAGTGTTGACCTTTCTTTCTCCTGAAAGAGCTTATTATGGAAAAGTTGCTAAATGATTGATCCCAGTTAGTGAAGTTTTTGTTTCTCAAAAGATATCCTGGTACTGAAATGTATTTTTTATGAGGGAACGTTTGGCTTGCCTTGCACACGTGTATCTTACTTCTACAAAATGACATTGAGGCTTTATTAAAGTTGATAAATACTTCCTTCCACATTTTATTAGAGTAGCTGAGCCTTTTAAAATAGATATCCAAGTAGTATGTTATAAAATACAGAGAAGTTAGAGAAAATCAGAGGAAAGAGAGGAACCGTTTAGCGAAGGCTGGTATGGAGCCCGTGGGTGTGAGGCCGGGCCCAGTACTGACACTGAGATGGTGTTAGTCTGGGAGTCTGTTTTCCATGCCGCTGAGCCCAGAGTGCAGGGGAAGCCCATGTCTAAAATAGTCTGGAGTCCACAGGCGAGCTCTGGGATGATGTCTCCAAGCCCTGGGCCGGGTGAGATCTCCGGCAGGAACCCGTGGACCAGAGGAAATGCTCTGTGTAAAGCATTGCCTCTGCCCAGGCTCCCTGTCTTCACTCCATCACGTGCAGGTGGAGGGAAGGTTCCCTTTCCTGCTGCCCACTCAGCTCTGGGCACAATCAGGCTTGTGTTTGTCAGGTTGGCGTGTGAAAATCTGACAATTGGGGAACCTCTGTCTTTCTTACTGCCCCGGGGGAGTGGCCTGTCCTGGGTTCTGGTCCTGTTTTCAGCTTCAGGCTGCTGGTCCCGGTTCTCCAGGTTAGTAACACGGCTTTTGTATTATCTGGCAAAGGGTGTTAAGTAACCCTTTGCCAGGTAAAAAACACTCTGAAAAAGCTACAAATCCTTTTGAATGTGACTCTTGTAATAAAATACTGGAGGATGGAAGGTGGTCTTGTCGCTTCTGGAGTGGGTGACCGTGCGTCACCTTGTCAGTTGTACTGGTTGCTGGACTGACATGTCGTCCTCACCACTGTAGCTCGTGATGTGTCCTGTGTCCCTTGACAGGCACGGCGGCCTTGGAAGAAGATGCTCAGATCCTGAAAGTCATCGAAGCTTACTGCACAAGCGCCAAGACGCGGCAGACACTCAACTCAAGTAAGTGTCGCTGCCTTGGCGTGGGAGCGGGGCTCGTTCCGGTGAGAATCAAAGGGAACGGCTCTGTCGGGCTGTGTGGGCTCGTGGCGCGGCGGAGTGCTCCGCAGGGAGCTGTTGGGGACTTGCCGGGCATAGGAGGACTGGGCCTACATCCCTGGATCTCTGAAGAGGGTCTGAACTGTCGGGAACTGACTTCTAGGGAAATTCTGCTGGGAAACCTTTAAGTATGAAGTGCTGTCCTTTTGCTTAGGGAAGTGTTTAGGAGACAGTGGAAGATTCATTCAGGTCAGCTCTTCGTGCTGTTTAAAGTGTGGGTGCGAGAGTGGGATTTCCGTTCAGCTTCCTAGAATTACTGTTTAAAGTATGAGTCGAGCCAGGCTTCCATTAGCTCCTCCCCCTTTTTAAAAATAAATGCCTTTTTAAAGTTAACAGAAGTAAATAGGTAATTTACTGGTAGATTTCAGCACCTCTCCATTTACTTGCATCTGGTATTTAATGCCTTACGTGAGAAAATCTTAATCTGTTGTGTGAACAGTAAAGAGGGGGCTCTTTTTTATATGTGTGTGTGCATTTTTAAACAGCCAGCACTGGGCACAGCGTGGGGCGGGGCACAGCGTGGGGCGGAGCACAGCGTGGGGCGGGGCACAGCGTGGGGCGGGGCACAGCGTGGGGGCGGGAGCTGTGCTCGCGTTTGCTCAGGGCAGAGGGGCTGAGCTGCTGGAGTCTTTTTGGACTGTTGTTTCTGGTGGGCTTTTTGTGGTGTTTTCTTCCTTTTTTCTTTTGAGACCTAAGTGGTTTTTATTTGCCTTTAGCATAAAATCTGGTTTCCATTAGATTGTGTGATTTTGGTTCCCTTTCCGCCCTGACTTGTGGCCGATCGCTGATGATCGCCTTTGTTCCCACCACCTGCCGCATGGTGGTTCAGAACCATGTCCTATGAGCCCTTTTTAAACTAACACTGAAGAAAAGGAAAGTGGGGAAAGAATTTTCCGCCGCTTTCTTTAGTTTTTGTTAAGATGACCACAGCTGTGAAGGTGGAGCCAGCAGGACCGACCCCTGGGCGTGGGAAGGGTCCAGAAACTCCCGCAGGGGCGGCTATTTCCCGCCTGCCTGTGACGCTGGGACGGCCTTGTCAGTTCTCGCTGGTGGAAAAGCTTCTTCATAGCGACTAGTCTGTAAGTAGGAGAGAGACGGCAGGGCCCGAACGTGGAGAGAGTATGTGTGACGCCAGGCAGGCATTTGCAAGTACAGATTATTGTTACCTAAGATATTAGAGTCTCAAGTGTCTGATAAGAGATTGTGTTTTAAGTAAAGGGCTATAAAATGTGGCCATAGTGTTTTAGGTTTTGAATTTGAGATTTTTAAAAATTACTCATCTCAGCTTCCTTTGTTTGAAATAACCTGTTGGTCTCAGCTGGACTGGCCAGGGGCATGAGCCTCGTGTGTGCTTTGTGCAGGCCGCCTTTCTGTATCTAGGGGCGAGGGCCTCGTGGCGCGCCTGTGGCCTCGCACATCCTGGTGCCTGAGGAATGGCCCCACGTGTTTGCAGGTCTCTGCTTGTGCTGCCTTTGCTGCGTGGACATTTCTCCTGTATAAGAGAAGCACTGAACAGTATGCTGACTTTTGCCTTCAGTGGATATTATGGGCTAACCACTGCTGAGGCCTCACATTTCCTATTATCGATGGCCTGATACTTAACAATCTCATGAGCAGGTCTGATACAGGAAATTGTTCCTTCATGCTGGCAATGTATAGTATACTCAAGATATTTGGAAATGGGATCATAGTGAAAGCAGCTCTTTTCATATTAAATGATTAGTAAAAATTTAGCGTAATATGCCATACTGAAAATTCAGTTCTTCCCAGTTTATGTTAGGATGCCAAGAAGATTTTATAAACCAAACATCTTTGGTATTAATTTCTATTTCAGGGAAGTAACGGCCTTCATGGACTGTGTGGATTTAGTTTGAGAAATCCGGGTTAGTCCACTGCTATTCTTGGTAGGCTTTGGGAACGGTATTAACAGCTCAGAAACAGGAGTCAGTGGTCACCGTGGTGTGGCATGCCCCGTCACGGAGGCTCGGCTTCCCACTGGGTGTCCTTCAGCCCCCTCAGCCTGCATGTTGCACTCAGCTGCCTGGCCACTGCTCACAGCTGTCAACCACTCGTGGGCTTATTTCTCTCCTCCCATTTGTGCCCACTTCCTCCTGTCACATGTCTCTCTCCTGCCGGTCAAAGGGTCTGCAGCAGGGCTGCCCACTTAGTTGCTGTCACCTGGCTCTGGTGGGCATGCTCAGGAGTTGGGGGTGGGGTGAGGACTATTTAACCCCTCTCCCCACTCCAGAGCCATTCAGTGGTGAGAGTTTGATAAGGTAAGTCCAGACCTCTGTCGTTACAATGACTCCTGGTGACAGAAAGTCTCGCTGAGAGGTAGCTGAAGGAGTCAGTCACACACTGTTGGAAACTCTTTTGCATTCAATACGTCCTCTTAATGAATAAGGAACAATTTTTAATTAACCACATAAATGGTTCCTTTTATAAACAATGTCCTAAACCAGACTATTTGTTAATAAAATGTGAAATAGAATTGGTTACTTCTCAAATGCTTATAGAATTATCTCTGGGCCTATGCTTATTAATTTGTAAGAGGGTTCTTAAGTGAGTATCTTTAAAAAGGAACAACTTGGAAATGGTATCATGGTTTGGGTTTATTTAAGTAATAATTGACCTAGTTTTATTCTAGGGGTTGTGTAAGTTCGTTATGAAAACCCAGCCATAAATAAGGAGACATGAACGATGTTGCCATTTTTTTAACAATATTTTCTCTCTTCCTTCTCTTCCCGTCACCTTTTGCTTTTGTCTCATGTTTCTGGTTGTGGCTCTTCCTGTCCGTCCTCCCCTCCCTGGCCTGTCACACCTGTCACCTTCCCGCCCGTCTTAGCATGGCAAGGCACTGACCTGATGCATAATCACGTCCTGGCTGACGGCGACCAAGCAAGTCTAGACTCCCTGGGCCGTCGCAGTAGCCTTTCCCGTTTGGAGCCTTCAGACCTGTCGGAAGACTCTGACTATGACAGTGTATGGACAGCCCATAGTCACAGAATGGGTTCTGCATCTCGTAAGAGCTGTTGCTCATATATCTCTCACCAGAACTAATGCGCTTCCGAGCTTTTAACAAATGCTTGTTGTATCGCAGCCTGCTTTTCTTAGATGTTTTCTTGCTGTTTCTTGTCTCTTTTATGTGATATTTTAACAACTTTTGAGAGCATTTCTGATACTTAACCATTGTATTTTGTGGAGGCTTAATTGCCAATTTGAGTATCCATTCCAGTTCCTGACTGTTGGAGGCAATGGTGTGTTCACACAGCTCGTACCTGAGGGTCCTTTTCTCAGGGGCAGTGGTGGTTTACAGCTCTGAATGGTTTGGGGTTTTGTCTCAGTATAGCAACTGTCTCATTTCTCTCTGGATACAGCTGTATGAACACTTTGATATTTTATACTGAAACCATACAGGTTTGTGATCTAAGCGATCTATTAGGGATCTAAAGTTGTTACTGTCATGGACACACTGGTCAAGTAGTTGTGGAGAGACAAGAAGATGACACGCAGTGTGGGTGCTGGGAGTCCAGCCCGCACAGCACAGCCCTGCTCTGTGCGCCGCAAAGAGCCCTGTGCTGCTGTGGCGAGTGTGGCTTTGGGCCTTGGCGAGCATAGAAGAGCTTGTCTGCACCCCGCAGCCCGTGCTCGGTGCACCACACAGGATGGGCTCCCGGGCCATCCGCTCAGAGAACAAGATGCCAATAACAAAATTGGGAATAACATTTTTTCCTCTCTTCAGGGTGGCTGATTCTCTTCTCTCACCACCTTCGCCAAAACCATGCATCAGTGTTCTGATCTGTTTGCACAAACAACTCCAACCCTGGGTCCTGTTGCTCATGAGCCCAGAGGTGCTCGTAGACTCCCAGCAGTAGCCTGTCACTTAGAAAGCTGGACAGCTTCAGTACCGCACGCAGTGAGGCCATTGGGAAAACCGCTGATTCCAAATACCTGTCTCTTCCCAGCCCGTTACTGACCTGTGTAGTCCCTCTGGAGACTTCGTGATTTTTAATCAGTTAGCATAAAGAAGTTGAGCAGCCTTTTAAAACTAGTCAGAGCCCAGTAATAACCCACGGTTAGAGCTGGGGTTTGTGTATGTCAGCCGAATAGCAAATGGACATTTTGGAGGTAGGATAACTATGAAGTATAATTAGTATCATGCAATGAATTTAGAACCAACTTCTGTTTTGTGTTATGTAATCACCTTTTCTGATACTAATAGAACAGCCTTCTTGTTTACGGGGTGTCGCCTCAGTGTCTTTGCCACCTGAGCAGACGGATTGCCTGTGCCATGTGCCACGCACCCCACAGCAGTGAGATGCAGTCACTGCGTTTGGCTTTTTCTTTAACCCCAGGCATTGTTTGGGTCATCTTAACGAGACTTTCGTTTTCTATAAACCAAAGTTTTGACACTTTGTCATCATTTTTGTACCAGTTGAAGCCACTCTGAAGATTTTTGTTGATGCTGATGTCACCGCAGAACAACCACCTGGCTTTTTGTTTGCTGGGTTTGCTTTGAATGTCTGGCACCATTAGCTCTTGTGACCCAGCCAGAAGGGTTAGTGCCACAGGCCTGAAAACAGTTGTGTGGCAGTGGTGATATGGTGTCCCACCCATGTTTCTGCTTCTGTGGGACTCCAGTCATACTGAAATAGTATCTTATGTTTATATGATTCTGTAATATCTATGTGTACAGTTAGTATTATAATGACTGGATGAAGAATTTGAACTGGAAGGTAGGTTTAAGCCTTTTCCAGGCCCTGTGCAAATGGCCTGACCTGAATGGTATTCCCATTGAATTAACACTTGCCACAAGTATATAAGCTGTGTCGTGTTTTGCATAAAATTGCCAAAACACAGTAATGCGTACATAGTGGTATACGACCTTGGAAAGACCTATATATATTGTGCTTTTCGTCTGTGAATGGGAAAGCGGTTTTTGGTGGGTGGCTGCCGTGTGAAGATGCAGCTGGATGTACACCTGAATGTCGCATTGTATTGTACAGTATGCATATTATTGTTTGTGGTTGCACATGGCGATGAAGTGTTTGTTTTATAAAAAAGACATCTGTTATGTACAGTTGAAATAAATTTTGCATTTGCTAGCCCGTGGCTTTTAATATTTGTTACATGGGGGGCAGGGGAGTAGCATAGTTAATGATTGGCTGTTCTGAACACCATCTTCCCAAGGAAGGCGGGGCTGTGAAGCACTTGATAGAAAAGCTTGTACTTAAGTATGTTCTAGACAATACAAGGTCACTTCTTGCACATTTTTACCCCATTTCCCTCTAATTTTTTTAAACAAGTTTTCAGTCACTGGAAAGCATTCTCATTTTTTTTTGGATGCGTAAATGGAAAAAAACCAACTTTAGTAGTATTTTTCTTTAGACTAAGTTCAGTTTTTATTTTTTGTTTCATAGTGCATGCCCAGCTGACTAATAAGCAAAGCAACCTGAGAGGAAAGGATGCTAGGACAAGGTGCGGCCAGTGGACAGGGCCAGGCAGGCCCCAGGGAGTCTTCCTGCTGCCCTCCTGGGGAAACCAGTTACGATCTTCCTGCCGTAGGAAGCGCAGCCTTCTGGAGAGACGTTTCAAAGTTACTGTCAGTTGAATGCAATGAGATGTGACGCAGATTTCAGAAAGATCACCAACTTAAGTCAGCGGGGTTGCCATGAGCGAATCAGAGCGCTGGCAGAGCAGCTGTTCTTTCCCCACAGGTGAACTTGCCCTTTAGGCGTCTGGTGCAGGCCGATGATGTGCACGTGCCAGGCGCATGCTCCCAGCTCAGGCACCAGCTTGCTGCCTGGGCGAGTCATCTGTATAAAACGGAAACGGTCCACCTCCAGTTTCCCAAAGGAAGGCCACCAGGGCGGGTTCTAGCGAGGCTCCAGCTGAGTGGTGCAGCGCGACCCCTGCTGGTGGCAATGTTTAGCTGTCGCCGCGTGTTTCCGGGGCGTCGGCAGGCAGTGCCCAGGCCTCTGCAGACAGGTTCTCGGAGTCCCGAAGCGCAATCGTTTTGTTATGTTCACCCACACAAAAAAAGACAGCAAGACCAGCCAGCACTGTCTGCATGTATTTATAGATGTGGACAGGATTATAGGCTAGTTTGGTATTCCTCAAACTTACCCATAAAACTGCAAAATGTTAATACCGATGCTGAAAGGAGTTCAGCACTCAGATGGATTTGGGAAATGCTGAATTAAATGGATATTTTTACTGGAGACCTTCAATATGCTACGCAGGTGGTATGAATCTCTAAGAAGTGGCTTGTAACTTTCAGCATTTTCCAAAATCCTGTGTCACAGAGCCTGTTGCTTCCTGGAAATGGTTGGGAAATGCTGATGATGAATGTGCTGGAACCCTCGCGACCCATTCATCTGGGACTCAGCCCCTTTTAGAGGAGTTCCAATAAAATAATAGAATATTTTTTTGGTACTTAAATTGTTTTTTCAACCGAAGGATTTTAATTCAGGGAAAATGTGCTGTGATAACTCGGTAACCTTCAAGATAACCAGCTAATTCTACTTTTCCTAAAACTTTGTCCTCAAAGAAATACCCAACTTATTATTAACCTGGCTACAGAATTCCTTGGTTTTGTTGATAGACTAAATGTATTTTTCTTAAATGACTGAACAGTTATGTTCAAACTAGGCAGATCATTAGCATTTCAGGGGTTTCTGTGCAGGCTAATAAATAACCTTCATTTGCCAGCCCCATGGCTCTTCATGAAATCCATAAATGGCATGTTTCAGGATCGCGCAGTACACTCTTGTCTATGACATTCTCAAACTTAATTTTTGTAATGCCAAGTTCTTGTGTGCTCTTAGTGTGTTTGTGAAAGTAAGAACTATGTCACATGCCTTGTACCAGTCCCCATAGTTTTAGTTCCTCTGACGTAGTTATGTCACATAATGGGATTTCTGGCTTTTATCTTTATGAACTCATCTGGTAAAAGACATTTATGAGAGGCATTTTAAAGTTAATCCTCACAACAGCTCTGTAGTGATAGTTCTTCCTTCTGTCTTACGAGGACTGGACTTGGGGCTCAGTTGGCTGGGTTCACTACCCCCAGCCCCTGCCCTCCGTGGTGTGAGTTCAGGTGGTCCTGGCCCTCTGCAGGACAGCTGCCTACTGTCTGACCCATTTCTTTACAAAGTTGGGATCCTTGTCTATTATGTTTGAATTTATAAATGCTTTTAGCACGTGAAATAAATAGGCCACCGAGGATGCTAGAAGGTGCAAGAATTAACTGAAAGGAAATAATATAGTATTCAGTGTTCCTGAAGTGCTGTCATATAAATTTCAGCCTGTTGTCCCATTAGCTGATTCGTTTGCATTTGTTTTTTCAACCGAAGGATTTTAATTCAGGGAAAATGTGCTGTGATAACTCGGTAACCTTCAAGATAACCAGCTAATTCTACTTTTCCTAAAACTTTGTCCTCAAAGAAATACCCAACTTATTATTAACCTGGCTACAGAATTCCTTGGTTTTGTTGATAGACTAAATGTATTTTTCTTAAATGACTGAACAGTTATGTTCAAACTAGGCAGATCATTAGCATTTCAGGGGTTTCTGTGCAGGCTAATAAATAACCTTCATTTGCCAGCCCCATGGCTCTTCATGAAATCCATAAATGGCATGTTTCAGGATCGCGCAGTACACTCTTGTCTATGACATTCTCAAACTTAATTTTTGTAATGCCAAGTTCTTGTGTGCTCTTAGTGTGTTTGTGAAAGTAAGAACTATGTCACATGCCTTGTACCAGTCCCCATAGTTTTAGTTCCTCTGACGTAGTTATGTCACATAATGGGATTTCTGGCTTTTATCTTTATGAACTCATCTGGTAAAAGACATTTATGAGAGGCATTTTAAAGTTAATCCTCACAACAGCTCTGTAGTGATAGTTCTTCCTTCTGTCTTACGAGGACTGGACTTGGGGCTCAGTTGGCTGGGTTCACTACCCCCAGCCCCTGCCCTCCGTGGTGTGAGTTCAGGTGGTCCTGGCCCTCTGCAGGACAGCTGCCTACTGTCTGACCCATTTCTTTACAAAGTTGGGATCCTTGTCTATTATGTTTGAATTTATAAATGCTTTTAGCACGTGAAATAAATAGGCCACCGAGGATGCTAGAAGGTGCAAGAATTAACTGAAAGGAAATAATATAGTATTCAGTGTTCCTGAAGTGCTGTCATATAAATTTCAGCCTGTTGTCCCATTAGCTGATTCGTTTGCAGAAATGTGTTACAAATTGAATGTGACACATAACTGATAACTGTGATTTGACTGTAACATTCACGTTGGGGCTCAAAGCAGGTAGCTAGGAAACCCTGCCCCCTGAACTAATGGCATCGGCGTGCTGCTCCTCTCAGGGAGAGCTGCGTGGAGCTGTTCGGCTAATACTCACGGGTGTACACATCTGAACCTGAGTACTCTTCTGTTTTCTGGGGAAAGAGCACATGGAATTGTCCTTACAAAAACGTGGGTGACATTTGCATTTGTACTAGAAGCACAGGGGTTCCTCACCTTCAGAGTTCTCAACCTGGCTGGTGTCTCTGGGCTTTCTGGGGAGTTTTCCACCAATTTCCTTGCTAAGCAGAGCTTGCGCACGTGGCCCAGATGATCCAGAGCGTTCCCCTTAGCCCAGGACAGCCTGGACAATGCTGTGGGGGCAGATTATTGCCAGCATAGTGATGTCTTTGTGAATGTGTCCCCTTCTGGGACCGTGTGCTGAAGGCTGTTACCCTCTGTCTGAAAAGCAATTCCCTGGCTGTGCAGGTCACTGTGAAAGGGTGGAGTGGCCTTAACAAGGGGCCAGTAAGTGGTGCCTTCCCATCCTGACAGTGACAGATCTGCTGGTCCAGGATTTACAGTGCAGTGACCACACAAACAGTAGTGGAGAGTCATCTTTGAAACAGTATTTGACCAGTTTTTGTACAAATATGTTCCCATGACAAAATTATAAGTATTGCATTTGATTAGAGTACTAAAGTTACTCTCAGTACAGAGAGGCCCTTCCCTTTATTGGTATGTTTGTGTAGCAGAGTGGCACTTACAGCTCCTCAGACCAGAGATCACAGGAGTTCACATCTCAGTTTTGCGTGGTCCCTGACATTACAGCTTCACAGCAAGCTCGTATGTGATCACCCTTCCTGGTCTGTGAGACAGGACGGCAGCACAGAGAGGCTTGGCCAAGGCCCCGCGGCCAGTAAGCTGCAGTCCTCTTCCCTGTGGCTTTCGTGGGAATGACAGAGGCACACTCTGAACGTCGGAAACGTTTTCTGAGCCCACTTGTTGTCCGGCTTTGATGGTACTTGTTAAACTTGTTCTGTATACGCGTCTTATAAAGTGCTGGTGAAACTATTCTTTGAAGTCATACCTTTAAAACATTGGTATTATACAGACTGTTCCAGTGATAGGATGTGCAAATGCCATCTTGTAATTTGAAGAACTTGTAGGAAGGCAAACTAAAAGTGAACCAGAAAAAAATAGTCATGTGTATTGAACTATAATTACTTATCAGACATGCAGCGTATTTTCTAAATGAAGAAAAATGCTTTTATCAAGATGCTACTTGTAAGCATTTGTGTTCTATAGTATAGTAGATTATATCCTTCCCCAGATTTGCAGCTAATGTAATTTTTCAGAAATAAAAAGAACATATTACAGTGCTGTATACTAACCTTTAGGAAAACATTCTCTTCAGTAAGATTGATTCTCATTTCTTGCCTTTTAAAATAAATACATGAGTTTCTCAATTTCCCAAGTGCCTATTTTCAGGACACTTGAGACACTGTCCAGGCAGCCACTGTTCAGGGTGTGGGGTCAGTGGCATGATCTTCCTGCTGACATTGTGACAGTTTACTTCCCTTAGGAAAAATGTTTATATTTCAGGGAACGTAAAGTTCTCATAAAAGAACCAAGTAATTTCACTTTGCAAAATCATGTCGTTAACTGTCGCTGTAGAGTTAAATGTTCTAATTGCCAGTCCTTTGAATTTAAGACATTGAGCGTATATGTACTGCCATCTGAGAACATCTAAAGTTCTTGGAATCATAAGGTTCAAAATTTGGCTGACTTGGATATTTATTCCAGAAAGTTTTTGGATATTTGTTCCAAAATACCAGGGCACTGTGGTCAGAACCTTTAATACCTCTGGACAGTTCCATGGTTGAGGTTCGTAGTCTAGACGCCTAACACTTGGTGAACTGCAGAAAGGCCGTTGGCTTTGTGATGCTTTACCCATTGGAGGTAGAGAAACTTGGTAAAGTATCCTGTTGCTGTTATATCTATGAAATAATTTTTTAATGTAGAGTCCCTGGAATTTGGTATTAATATTGAAGTGGTGTTGTATACTTTTTGGTTCCGCCATGGTGTTCACCTGTGGGTTCTTTTTTTTTTTTTTTAATAGGTTCACGCAAAGAATCTGCCCCACAAGTTTTGCTTCCAGAAGAAGAGAAAATCATAGTAGAAGAAACTAAAAGTAATGGTCAGACAGTGATAGAAGAAAAGTAAGATGGATCAGAAACGGGGGAGGGGAGAGAAGGGTGGGTGAGCCCTGGAGTTGGGGGGCCTCGGAAACCACTGCTGTGTCCCTCCTGGACTGGAGCTCACCTTGCTGCGGGGATCGAGTCCTGCACAGGCCGGCTACCCCGAGGGCGGGGGCGGGGCGGGGGCGCGGGGCAGGGCGGTGCTCTGCCGGCAGACACCCTGCGTCCTCCCCCCCGTACTTACTCGGGTTCACTCTGTGTCCTGTTCCAGGAGTCTCGTTGATACTGTCTATGCATTAAAGGATGAAGTGCAAGAGTTAAGACAAGTGAGTCATAATCAGTTTTTAAATATTTTTTAATGGAGGGAAAGAGGAAAGCAGTACATTAAAAGTGAAGCCGGGTGTTGGGAGGCCAGTGAGCTAGACCCAGAGGATCAGACAGTTGGTCTTCTGTGAAAGTGAGAGACCAGGAAATGAACTATTAAAGTGACTTGCTTCCGCTTTCTTTTTTACTATGTTGTTCTTGACATCATAGCCCATCTCAGATTCTGTTGGAAGCATCACTTATAGTATCTAATTCTGTCCAGTCAAATATTTTACTGGGTACGTACTGTGTCTCCTCTGCCACCACCTGGTGTGAGCGCAGTCCTTGTTCTTGAGAAGCCATGCCAGCCAAGGCCGTTCATTGAAGGTGGTGTGCTTGCTGACTCGTGTCGTCTGTCACTTACCCAGGCAGCTCTGGCCTGAGGATGGGGCGGGAGGCCTGCCCAGTAGGGTAGGAGGTTGGAAGGAGCCCAGTAGCATGGGCTCAGCCTGTCTGGGTGGTGTCCCCATGGTGGCGGCCTGGTACCCCCACCTCTGAGGGGCTCCCTGTCCGTGCTCACTGTCAGCAGTGGGGCACACCTCTGTGCAATGAGGGAATAGCAGGTGCCTCCGCACTGCAGTCCTGCCAGGCTGCTTGGCGCCCATTCTTTAAGGTCAGCGTGAACATAAGCACTGGGTGGGCTGCAGGTTTTTCCCTATTGGTAGTTTCAGCCGTTTTCTTAAGTTGTGTGGAGTCTGTCTTTTGCTTATTGGGAACTGAAATCGTGAGGGACATGAGGACCGGTTCTGTCTGATCTTGGCTCCCAGGAGCAGTGGGTGCTTGCACTGCCCACGGTCCTGCCGAGCACACCCACGGTGCAGGGTGCCCGGCCCCGGCCTTTGGGGCAGGAAGGGCCTCTTCAGCGCAGACGGCTAACGTCCCCGCGGTCTGCTTCTCTTACAGGATAACAAAAAGATGAAGAAGTCTCTGGAGGAGGAGCAGAGAGCCCGCAAAGACCTGGAGAAGCTGGTGAGGAAGGTTCTGAAGAGCATGAACGACCCTGCCTGGGACGAGACCAACCTGTAAAGCTCCTGGGCTCTTTGTCCAAGACGGTCAGGACACCAGCGCATGTGACGCTCAGGACTGCAGGGCAGGGCTGGATGACAGCTGTGTTCCTGCGCATAGAGAAGCTGGGGGGGAGTCCAGGCGCGACGTTCGCGCCTTGGGGCTGAACTGTGTTACCCGTCCCGTTAGCATCTCAGTTACCTTGTTTGGCAATAAGTGCAGTGATCAGCCACAAGCCCTGGCCTTTCAGGTGTTCACTGAATATATATAATGTCACATACACGTGTTCTTTTAAGCACTCCATTTCAAAACTATATCCCCGATTGTTGTGTCTGGGCTAGCGTGTCCTTCCCGCTAACCTCGCTGGTGCTGTGGCCTGGAGGCCGTGTTCTGGCGCTCGTGGGAAGCAGGCAGGAGGGTGCCTGGGTCCTGTGCATGCCCGATGTGCCCCCCAACCGCGCTCTCCAAGTGCCTTGGTAACCTTACATCTCGTGGGGCGCTCCAGGCCTGTTTTCACAGCCCTCCCTTCAGCAGCGTTTGAGTCACCAATCTGCAGGGGTTCCATGCTGTGCTGTGCACCCCACCCTGAACTGGAGGGAGTCGCATGCTGCCACCATGTCCGGCTGCAGGTGTCCCTGCTCGCCTGCTTTGTGGGAACGCCGGGACCATCGGGGCACGTTCCCTGCGTTTTGGGAGAGACTTTCATGTGTAGACTAGGGTACACCTTCCGCTGCCCTGAAGGAGAGCGCTCCTCTGGAACCTGTGAGCAGAGTGTGTTCATGACAGAGTGCTGCGGCTGAGGCGGGGCATGCAGCGGGCACGGTGCATCAGAGGTCCTGTCGGGCCAGTGTGACCTTTGAGCCCTGTTCACCGCGATGCAGCAAGTGTGAACTCAAAGGAAAGATGCGCTTCGCCAGCCAGAATAAAGCAATATATGTCTTAAATTCCACCTAAGTAATAAAAGTTGAGATGCGGGTCCATTTCCCTGCCCTCCACCTGTCCAAAGGGCAGAGGAGCCAGAGGAAGCGTGTGCTGACCTCTGCCCCTGCAGGCCCTGGGCAGCCTGCCTCCTGCTTTGGGGATAGGGTCCCCGTGTTGGGAGCTGTGCTTTCCATGCCCCTCTTCTGAAGAGGTCGGCTTTAAAAGCCAGATGAACTTCACAGAACAAGTATTACATCTTAAGAACCCAAATCACAACCCCGCATTGCACGCGTCTCAGAAATACCCATGGGCACCAGATGTGACTTGATTCGCCACAGCTGCTTAGGGATTGTAGGTGCCTTTGAGGCAGACAGCTTTGAACCTGTTGGTTTTCTGGGGGTCTGTGGGTCTTGCTCTGGGCCCGCCCAGGGCCCACTGGAGGGTGGCTGCATGGCTGCATGCCTGGTGTCGGGCCAGTGTGAACCCGCTCGCACTTGGCCTTTACCCAGGGTCGCCAGCTTCCCGCTCCTAGCGTTGTGCTCATTGGTGCGGACCAGAAAGGTCACCTTTCGTTTGCAAGCCGTCTCTGCAGTTGTATCTCTTGGTGAAGCACGAGACAGTGCAGTGGGAAATGAACTCACTGAAGTTTGCCATCTGAAGCGAATTTTGACTCAGGAACATTCATCACTGGATCTCTGCCACTTGGACCAGCAGTGTAGGCGTCGCCCGCCCTGGGACGGGCCTCTTTCAGAACCTGCCTCAACGGTTGGTCGAAGCCGCGAGTGAGAACAGATGATTACCACCCTGTCCCAGGGGTGACCGAGATGCTCATGTAACGCGTTACCAATTCTTCCCATGGAGCCAGTATTTCACTAAGCTTTTTTAAGAAAACAAAAATGCATCTGAGAGCAATTCTTTCTTCAAACCTGTCCTATTGTAAACAGACTGCATACATTTCTCTGTGACCTTCCGAGGGTTGGGCGTTGATGGGAGCCTTAGGAAGGGGCACTCTTTACCCCTGGGGAACCTTCTCTGCTCTCGCCTCTCACGGACAAGGACACGAAGCCTCTCCTGTTCTGGCGTGTGAAGCACTTCGATGAGGTGGGGCACTGGGGGCCTCTGCCCGTTGTGCTTTGTGGGGTGTGTCCCCATCCACACGTGTCAGAGCGGCTGGGACACCAGTACCTCCCGGCTTTGCACTTGTGACCTGCCTCCATTTCTCTGGGACACACAGTGTCCCCATTTACAGCTGTGGGGACACTTTGTGTAAGTGCCACATTGCCCTGGCATTGACATTTGTGCTACATTGTTGTAATTATTAAACTGCTCTTTCTTACATGACAAATGCATCACATTATCTTCCATGATGTGTTTTGTGTGAGTGTTAATTTTACACTTCCTTTTGAGTTTAAATTCTGATGTGAAGTTTTGACACTGGGAAATACCACATTTGCCTTTAAACATTGGCTTGGAAATAGTTGGAGAGAAGAAAATGGAGCGTTCTAGGGAGGGGAAGTGCAGGAGGAGCCGGCGCAGGTTGGGTGTGCCTCTCAGCCTGCTGGCATACAATGACACCTTTCATCCTGGAAGGCGCTTAGTAGGCCACGGGGGGGAGTGTGTCAGTGCACACGCTGCCGAGCGCGCAGCCCTGCAGGAATGTCCCAGGGCGAAGGAAGCTGCCCCCCCCCCCCCCCGACCTTCACATCTCCCTGCAGGACGGCTTCGTAGGTTCAGAGGGCTGGGCCCTGGGCCTGGCAAGGAAGCCACAGGGTGGCTGCTGAGCTGCGCATCTCCTTCCCCTCGGAGCTGTTGCCTGCTGCCCCCCCTCACCCCCCACCGTTCTCCCAGGGCTCAGATGCTCCTTGAACCCTGCAGCAGGTAGGCCATCCTGCAGCTGCGAGCACCAGCTTGGACCAGGGAGCCATGGTTGGAAGCATGCGCAGGATGTGAAGTGATGGGGGCCCCTGCAGGGGTGTCGTGAGGACCAGGAGAAGCAGCCGCTGCCAGGCTGTCAGAGCCTTTCAGGATGGAACGGCTGCCACCGGGCGCGCGGTTGCCGGGATGCAAGTGCAGCTGGTGTCCAAGGTTGAGAGGGTTTCCATTTCAGGTAAAACGAGCAGGCGTTCAGAAGAGCACTTTTGTCCATCTGCCTTGTGGGTCGAATGCACAGGGTGTTAGATGCCTCTACTTGGAACTGTTCATCTTATGGGGGCAGTTCAGGCATTTATCTCTCTTCGCTAGTCTTGAATTACAAAGCCAGCTAAAATACAGACTACCCAAGGACAGTGTGAAGAGAATACCCCCTCAATGCCCTCCCTGGTGCCACAGAAGTAACCCATGGGCAGGTTCTCTTGGGCACACGCAAAGAGGTATGATTCGGGTGTGTATGTGATCTTGTTCCACATAAATGAGATTCCTCTGAGTATATTCTAGTTTGCCTTTAAGTCCATGTGGGAAGCAGACCTATATAGGTATAGAGCCCTGTACCATATCATAGACAAAAATGATTTTCAGATACATTAGAGACCTATATGTGAAAACACTTTTTGGAGGCAATAAAGAATTTTTATTACTTTTGCCAAGTTTACCTCTTGTTTTAACATCCCAAATGTCTTCACATACAGGTGTAGAGAGGGTGACCCACTGTTCTGACAGTAACTCAGCCACATAAATACTGCCGACCACGCCCCAGTTTCCTGTGGTCACCTGCTGTCAGCGGCTGGGTGTGCAGCGGCCCTGGATTGGGCCCCAGTGACTGTCCTTGGGCGCACAGGCCTGCCGTCGTGTGAGGATGGTGCAGAGGTGTTCACTGAACTTTTAATCTTGACAGGGTTTGCCGGGTTCCTGGAGGGTGTTTCAGAAATGACATCCTTGACAATTTTATACTTCAGTTTTCAAAAGAGGTACAAAATCACCGGAGTCCTGTCCTTCATTCCTGATGCGTTCATGTCTGGGTGGTTGGGAAAGGGGGTGGCAGTGCACGTCTGGCACACATGCAGTTGTCCCCAGCCTCAGCCGATTCTGCTTTAATGTTGGAGCAATAGTCCCTGTGAAGCAAGCAGGATGAGCCCCCAGCCTGCCGCCACCCTAGCCTTGCCTCCCGGTCTCGGCCCCCCTGGGCCCAAGGGGCTGCAGGACGCCAGGGCCGGGCGGGGCGGCCAGGGTGGTGGGGCCCCCAGGTGTTGGGCGTTGGCATATGTTCAAAGAGCCAAGGGGAGGATTCGTGGCTGGCCTGTCCCCGCAGCTCCAGTGCCCTCAGCCATGAGATGCACTGATGCCAGCTGTGCCCCTAAGGGCTGCTCTGCTCGGCTTATCCAAGCGTCGGAGCTGGTAACCTGGGTCAGGAAGAGGGAAGGGCAGGGCGAGGGGCCCCCTCAGCCCCACACCCGCTCCTCAGGCAGCTTTCACTCACAGTCCCCCTCAGCAGGGTGGCCCTTGGCAGGAGGCTGCCTGCCCCCCGTGGTCCCTCCCACTGTCCTTCATGCTCATGCGGCCTTGGGCCTGGCCTGCACCTCTTACCCTCCTCAGCCCGGCCCTGCTCTGGGCCGCTGTAGTCCTACCGACGGTCCTGTGGCCATGTGCTCTCCTGCAAGGTGCCCACACGTCCCTTAGCCCGCAGTGTCTCTCTCTTCACCCGGATAATCCTTGGAGACCTCTGGGCCTCTCTCTCCTCTCCCTGAAGCCTGTCCTGGGCACCCTCCTCCCCACCCAGGGTCTTCTCAGCAGCCTGGCACTCAGCCCAGCCTTCAGATGAGCACGCTTGACTCGCTGCCTCCATCAGTCCCCAGAAGCATGTTGACAAGTGAGCCCCCACCGATCTCCGCCGGGTCCAAGCCTGCCGTGGACAAAGCTCCCAGGAGAGAGGACCGGTCTTGCCCTCGGCTGCGGGGGACGTTGGGGGTGTGGCCACTTTGGGAGATGTCTCCTGTTCCTCCAGAGGTCAACCTGTGAGCTACCACATGCCCAGCGAGTTGTCTCCCAATTGTGTACCTAGGGGAAGTGAAAATACGTGTCCACACAGACGTGGGCAGCATCACACATAACAGCCAAAGAGGGGAGACCACCCAAACCCCCAGGGGATGGGTAAACAGCGTGGGCCACCCAGCTGTGGCACGTTACTCAGCCCCAAAGGAATGAGGTTCTGACACAGGCTACAGTGTGGACGAAGTTTGACAGCACGTGAGTGAGAGGCCACATAAATGATTCCGCCAATACGAACAGCCTGGAGAGGTGCCAGGAGCCGTGTGTGGTGGGCTGCAGGGAACGAGGCCCTGCTCACGGGCACGGGGTGTCTTTCTGGGCTGAGGAAAATGTTCTCGGTGATGGCTGTGAGCTGACTGCTAATGCCCTGGACTGTACACTTGGAATGGGTGAAGTGTACAGGACACGAATTACCCGCAGCAGGTTAGTAGTGCGGCCGGGCCCCCTGGTAGCTGTTGACAGGCTAGTGTGGGGTGACTGGGAGCCCATCCTGACCCCCAGAGTCCTCTGGACGTGGGCAGGACCATGTACTGGGCGTCAGCCACATGTCGATCCTATGCCAGTGAGAACGTGCCATCACCACGCTTACAAGGCGCTGGAGGCCGGGTGGTTAGGCCACACAGCCAACACACAGCAGCCGAGCCAGTTCCCGTGTTGTGTGTGCAGTGAGGCCCACAGAGCCTTCCAGACAGCTCCTGTGCTCGCTTGGAGGCTCAGCCGCCCCTCCCTCCTGCCAGCTCCTGGCCGCTGGCATGAGGCCTGCCAGGGGCATCTGGCCGCCCCTCTCTCCTGCAGCAGGAACCTGGCCTGTCCCTGCCTGGGTGACCTTGACTCTCCTGGCCTGAGCGCCTGCTCTCAGGGTCAGAGCACAACTCCTGCCGTGCCCCACCCTGGCCCGCCAGCTGCAGCCTGCTGCCCTGGGATCCCGGTGTCCTCTCCTGCTTAGCCTCGCCCCTCCCCTCTGGTGTGCCTGCAACATATCTCCTCCTCCACAGAGACCCCCCTCTGCTGGGCCCGGGATCCCTGCTCTTGCCCCGGTGCGCGACCAGTACCATGAGGGATGGTACGTTCCCCCTGCTGGCACCTCCCTGGGAGCTCCTGCTTTGCCCCTCGCTAGGTCCTCCCCCTTTTACCGCACGTCAGCACCTCCCTTGTCTCTGGAGCCCATGGCACACGGAGCCTCCTGTGCCCCTGCCTGTGTCCGCTCTGCAGGTCGCAGCCCAGGACCCACTGCGCTGATGTCTTGCCAGCCTGCGGCCACCTCCTCAGCCCTGACCAGATGCCCAGGCACAGCAGTCCCTTGGTTGTCCCCGTGGCAACTTGTGTCAGTCATGAGCACGGCCGCTCTGCCCTCCCAGCTGCGGGCGAGGTCCGCGGTTCCCTGAATCTTGCCTCACAACAGTCAATTTTCAACACAGCCAGAATGTTGCTGTCAGAATTAATTCAGTTTCCCCTCTCTGCAAAGTCCCGCCCCAGCACCGACTACACGCGGCCTGGAGGCCCAAGTCCTTGCTCATGATTTAGCCCAGCTTACTTCACGCCATGCTGGCACCCCCGGTTCCCCAGACTCCATGGACCTGCCTCACCCCAGGGCCTTGGCATGTGCTGTTCCTTCAGCCTGCATGGTTCCTGGCCACCCACACAGCACCCTTCTCTGCTTGCTTCCCAAGCAGACATGTCCAAATCAGAGGCCACCCGCTCTGGGTGGGATAGAAAGCCCTCTGCTCCGGCACCCATGTTCTCTCCTTGCCCTGTGCCAACTGACCTGTGTGTTCTGTCCCCTTCCATGGGAATGTACGTCCCCAGGAGCAGGGATTCCTGTCTGTCTGTCTCACTGTTGTGTCCCAGCAGAGCCGGCAGAAGTGGGTGCTCCGAGGAGACTGCTGGGGGAGGGCAGGACCAGAGCCTGTTGGGTGTCTTTTTACTTTTCTTGATAGTGTTCTTTGGAGCACAGGGTGTTTGGTTTTGATGTCCAGTTTATTTATTCTTTGGTTTCTTGTGCTTTTGGTATTGCGTCTAAGAAGCTATTGCCTGGCCCAGGGTTGCAGAGAGTTACACCTGTGGTGTCTTGTAAGCACTGTGTAGTTTCACTCAGACATTTAGGTCTTTGACCCACTTCTAGTTAACTTTTGTACATGATGTGAGGCAGGGAGCCACTCATTCTTTTGCACGTGGTAGTGTCCAGGCAGAGGGGGAGTAGAGCAGATTAACGTGTCCAGACTCACTGTTCTCGTGGTCTGTCTGTTCATCTGTGAGCTTCTGGTTAATTTCTAGGGGTCTGAAAAGCTTATTCTGACAGATCCTGCCGGTGTTCTCACTGTTTGTGTGGGCGAGGGAGTTTGGGGGGCTGCTCCTGTGCGGTTT